TACTTAATTTTTTAATTAAAAAAAAAATATAAATAAGAATATCGCAAAGGTCCGCGACATTAATAAATAAATTAAGCTAATGATATGCTGGATTACCATTCTCATTTCATAAAAGCAATTCTTGTCGTTTAAGAGAATTAAAGGAGAAGTTATTTGACTGTATTATCCGTATATTTTATAATTACTATTATTTAACGTGTTACAAACGTAATTGCAACGCAATGTGTTTTATAAGTTTACCTCGATATTTGTTGCTGTTCGTACTTGTAATGTGAACTTGACCAACTTTTTAAATGTTTTTAACTTATAGTAAGTGCCTGCGTATATCTTTCTCAATATAAAAACAAGCTCTCATACTCTTCGTATCAGTGAAAGGATTAACGATAAATTGTGATATTTATTAAAGCGAGGCTAGCAAGTATTTCATCGTAGCAATTAGCGGAAACAATTATTTCCACATACGAGTTGGCACGATTCGTCACCAATATTCTTATTAATTTGCAACATAAAATCATATCGTCCGGTATCTAATGTTTATATTGCATAATTAAACGTCGACCGTGGGTCGTCTATTAGTTCTAGAAAAGACGGAAACGGACTTCGTAACGATATTTTGTTATATATATATATATATATATATATATATATATATATATATATATATATATATATATATATATATATATATATATATTATTTATTTATTTATTTATTTATTTATTTATTTATTTATTTATTTATTTATTTATATGTTTTACACATTTTATGTGTAAAATATACGTACGTAAACTCGTACATAGATATCACTGTATAAAATATTATGTCTATTATGTTATTGCTCATGGTAACAGAACAAGAAGTTATACCAGAGGAAGACTTTGTACAAAAGTCGTTTGCTTGGGCAGCTCTGTCCCATTCGTGTTTCTACCGTAAAGCAGTTGTATTTGCATGGCTGTGTTTCAGTTTAAAGGGTGGGATATGGCAGTGAACTTACAGGGTACAGAGGAATAACACTTAAGTCCCAGGCAACGCATAGGCGGTATCATGGGCGAAACAATATACTCTGTTATGTCCATGGTACTGCTCATGTCTATAAGCGACGGTTACCATTTTCCATCAGGTGAAATGTCAGCTTGTTTTCCATTCTAAGTTGCATAAAAAAAAGATATTTCACGTCTATCCTAATAAAGTGCAGTGTGTATATAGCCTTAAAAATATCTTATATATTAAGATATTCCTAGTAAATACTATAGTATTAGGAATTGTGTTAAAAATATGTACAGTAAGCCATATTCTCCTCTTGAGGAGAGAGTCTTGGTGAAGAGTGTAATAATATCCTGTTAATTAATTTCTGAATGACAAATGAATTCTACCAATATAATTGTGATATAATTCCATTAAACTTTAGTTTTAACCTTTAATATTGACATTTCTTTTAATATTTATTAAATTTAACATTAATATAATTAAAAAAATTTCGTCACTAACTAGAAAATTGTGTTGTTCTCATAATAAATCAATTGCTTTTAAATATTTGTACACTAGAAACAACGGAATACGATATGACATTATTTACTTATTATAATAGTCAACTTATTGTACTATTTTCTAACAAATTAACAAATTGTTATCATTATTTATTAACAATAGCACATGATGTCTTTTTAATCAGATCCACAATTAATTTTACAATCTTCGATAATAAAAAAATAAATCAGGTACTGACTTCAAGAGTTTTATACCTTATCCAAGTACTGAATAATTTAAGTTTATGTTAAAAAAATATTTATCGCAGTAAAATAATATTATATCATTTCATTATTATAGTAAACTAAATGAACTGCCTATATGGCTAATTTAATTTTATAATCAGATCAAGTTCACAATTGTAACGTATTATATTATGTATTACAAAATAGGAAGTTGTTCAGCCAGATTGTTGATACCGTAAATTGAATAACAAGAAGTTTAAATAATTATACATTTCTCACATCATTTATGAAGAAAGATTTTACATACTATGATTATATAAATATCTCACTATAGTTATTATAATTAATTATCCTATTCGAAAGTTTGTAAGAAAGGGTAGATAGATGGATATTTGTTACTCTTTCAAGCAAAAACTGCTGAACAGATTTGAATGAAATTTGGTACACAGATAGATTTTATGTATGAGGTTCTTCAAAAATGGTATATTATGGATTCATCAGTGATACCCCTAGTTTTGTAGGCATCCATAGGCTGTAATAACAGTTTACCATCAGACGGACTTTACATTTGTTTGTCACCTATATATATATAGATTGTGTACTAATTTAGCACATACTACAGTATATATAATAATTTACGCAGGCGAAGCCGCGAGGTACAAGTAGTCTAAAATATTTTATGTATACACGTATCAAACTGTAATCATATAGGTTTAAGGTACTTACATTCTGTGCAATATCCCGAGGCAATTTTATAGGTATTCGTTACTGTTAGTAAATCAACAATTTATAGATTTCTCGTGTTTCAAATAAATCACTAAGGGCCTTACCTCATACGTCTTTGATACCAGTGAGCTAATAAATAACCTAAAGTGCCAATTTTGTAAATAGAATGTGTTATAAAATCCTTTTTTGTAGCAAATGATTGAGTAATCACCTATGAAGCTATGTTGAATGAGATTTTATGACATGTGAATTATATATAGTCACCATAACAGTATAATATATTACAATTTTTATATACTAATAAACACAGTTTTTTTAGAGATAACAAAACGTTTGATATCTGTCAAGGTCAAACTCATGATTTAGTCCTGAACCACCAAGTCATGAAGATTTCTTAATATTATCAACTGTAGTGAATCCAGCCATTTGTATGCTATCGTTCTCTTTAGAAGAAAAAAGATTCAACGCCCCCTAATTTCTTTATAAGTAATATAAAATAATACTTTTTAAGCTACTTGATATTGTTTCCAATTCTTAATGAATTTTGTAATTTAAAACAATTTTTTTTTCCTGTTTTTTTATGCAACTTAGAATGGCAAACAAGCTGCCAGTCCTCCTGAAGAAAGTAGTAACTGTCATAAACAGTACCAGAACAGATTTATTGAATGAAGTTTTCCGGGGATATAATGTTAGTCTGATATAATGTTAGTCCTATAATATAACCACTGCTTCCTTATCCGTGGATTAAGAGGCGACTAAGGGAACTTAACGGTCGAGGGATGGGCAGCAGCGCCCCTCTTAAAACATCAAAATCAAAGCCTAACTGCGGTTGCTAACTCACCTCCCAAGCGTGGTAACTAACAAAACCCCTCAATACGGAGAGTCCTATGTTCAGCCTTGGACAATTAACGGCTATTATGATTGGTATAGTATAACAGGCTTGAAAACATATTAATATCTATTCTAGTGATCACTGTTCTGTTATTATTGATACGCCATTAGGTATTCTATGCGTAAAACTCGTAATAATAAGCTCGGTCGCTGTAAAAGCTGCATTTACGAAACACCACTTGAGTTCTAGGAGTGTTCTACTTAGTTACGAATTACGGAATTGTACCTACCTGATATTTTGAAATGCAGCTAACCATTAAATACATATATGGTTTGTGCACGTTCCTATATGAAACACAGCCTTTATGTGACAAATATGAATAGATTAAGTTACTAGGTACATACAATGTTCACTAGAAAACAATGAACACTCTTTTATGTAAATATTTTTTATGCAACTTAGAAAGGTAAACAAGCTGACAGCCCACCTATTGGAAAGTGGTCACACAAATTGAAACTTAATAATGAAAAATTGATTATGTGCTGATTTTCATCAACGTACAACTCGCCACAAACTAAAGTTCCATCCCAAACATTTAGATGAGTGCCCACCGTGCGTTTTTCGAGTCACTTTATTCCACGCACAACTCACACAACATTTTGCAATCAACTTCCAGTAGTAGTAAAATTTCTGGTGTTGCGGATGCTCATGAGCGGTGGTAGTCACTTACCATTAGGTGAGCCGTAAGCTTGTTTGCCTTCTGTGTTATAAAGACAATAAGAAAATATAAAAGATAATATTATTTCTAATTATATACGTTTCTAATTTAGAGTACAATAAATAAAATCATACTAGAAAGACAAACATATAGAAAAATATACTAGAAAGATAAATCGGACTGGATTGATCTTTTTTATTTTTTTTCCACACTTTATATGAAATATTAGCATGACTATAAAATGTCATCGTCTTTATCCCATTCTTTTGTATCGCTGTAGTATGCTTTCTTTCTGTCATTAATACCTAGATATGTCTAGAATAACTTAGTTTATTAAAAAAATATATTCTAAGATATAACCCGAAGTGTACGAAATTTCATTCTAATCAATTTCGTAGTAGCGCGATTAAGTAATAAACATCCGTCCTGACAAATTTTTACATTTATAATACGAGTACCTATATAATATTATTATAAAGGCTATTATAGTTTTTAATTCATATTTTCGTTTGTTTATTTTCCAATAATTTGCCATATTTAAACAATTAACTTTATTTTTACATAATATATAAAATAATTTATTAACTACATTGCCTTTATAAGTACAGTATTCGAAAGCTGATGTTCCACCTACCACTCCTAAAAATGCGTAGCCGTCAGTTATTTTGGAATGTTTACGAAAACTAACGCCAATGTATTGACCTAGATTAAAACGTGCGATCATCATATCCATTTAATATAATAGTACAATTAAGTATATGTACATCACAACAATATTTTTACCATATCTATATGACAATGGTGCCAAATAAACATACGACTATTTATTATTTTATATTTGATTGTCAACGGTCACTGTATGAATTATTGTCCATGGTACTGCCCATGTCTATAGGTGACGGTTACCACTTTCCATCAGGTGGGCCGTCAGCTTGTTTACCATTCTAAGTTAAATACAAAAAAAGATAATTTTGCACATTAAACTATATTTATTTATGTATTGTTGTTTCAGAGCGCTACTCATAGCGCTGTGTTGCGCATACGCAACGTCATTGACTCCACTCTCAGCCGCCGGCGATGATAACGACTGCGCTCTATACCTGAGCGGACCGGGCCGCACATCCGCCTACGACTACAGCCTCAACCTGCTCAAGGGCAACTTGTGAGTACCATTACCAACCTATACCACCGTAAAGCAATACTCTAATTAATCCAAATGGACATAAATGTTATATTTTATTTTACTAGTTATGAATAACTTGTACAGACAACCATTGTTTTATTATCAACCGAGTCCATTTTTTATTGTAATATCAACTATCCTACCTTTAAAGTTGAAGCAAACAATACATATTTATGAAATTTCATTAAAACTGGTTAAGCGGTTTCGGAGATTAGCGTGAACGAACATCGAGATTTTTATATAACAAAGAAGAGAGCACACTTAACGTTGTATTTGCTACCTATAAATGTAAATACCAGAAAATTCGTATTGTATCAGCCGTTAAATGTCCACTGCTGTTTAGTTCCGAATACTAAAATGTTTCTTCTGTATTAGTGATTGGTCTGGTTTACGTATCCCTCGTGAGTATATGTATTATAATACATAAAATGTGAGTAAACAAGTGAATACATAAACTCTAAATCTAATGCAAACATTACTTTAGGCATGAAATTTAGAACTCGATAAACATTTGATGCATATTCGACTAATGAATATGTAAATCGAAACCTTATTAGCAGCCGTTTAAATGATCTTTTCCCATATATGAACATTTTTTAAAAATTGTATATAATTTCTTTTATTATTATTATTTTAGCCGTTAACTGTCCACTGCTGAACAAAAGCCTTCTCCATAAGGAGAGTTTTCTAGTAGTTGCCATGCTTGGCAGGCATGTTGGCAACTGCAGTTAGGCTTCTAGAGATGTTTTAACTGGAACGCTGCTGCCCATACCTCGCCCTCTCTTAGTCGCCTTTAACGACACCCACAGGAAACGTAGGGGTGACCCATTCTATGCCGGGGCACACACGGCATATATAGTTTCTTTAGAAGTTACTACAAACCCTCCACACAACCATATACTACAGTCATCATAACTTTATATTCCTTCCATATATTATTTTCTTTTATAACTTTTTCAATTTTGCATTTATAAACGCTTGTATTGAGTCAAACATTCCTCACAGACGCTAGATGGATCTTAAATTAATTCAGCATATATTCACACTGCGAATGTTTGCTAACGTCAACTTATTAGGTATTTAAACATATATTTGAACGTGGTCAAGTTTATACAAACATTGGCATATAAACAACCTGAAATATGCAACCCAGATACCCAATATTATAATTTTAATAGTACTAAACTTATACGATGATTAAAAGAACGGAAACAGAAAAAAAAATATGATATGCGTTTAATAAGTGCTAAACCTAATAATCTTAAAAATGATAATATTGATGAAATTGTTTTTAACAAAAGTATGTTTTTATTCACATCCAATATTTTATGATTATGTGACTTTTACATAGATAGGTGTAAAACTAATATTGTAGATTCTTTATTTCTTATAAAATATCAGACATACAGCTGGAACATAACAGAACAATAGCAGCGTACTTTAGCGATGGGCCCTAACTTTAAGACACGCCACGGATATGCGGCCCGTTTCATTTCATTCGCGAGACCTTATGGTCCGTTACAACTAGGGTAATCACGTTTTGTTAAATGTAGAATTAACAAAACGTGATTACCTTATTTTAGCCTGTTAACTTTACAATAAGATATTTTAAAATTTACTAATTTACATAATATTATAAATAGGCAAAGAAATATTTTGCATTAAACGAGCAGAGTTAAAAGCACTGATTTTTATTTTTTCTTTTATTAATTTAAAAAAAGGAGTTTTTTTTATAGTAAATTGATTTGACGTATTATTTTTTACATTAAATACTTTAGCAAATTTTACAACTTTTTTTTATTTTAAAGGCTTATTTTTAGAAACCTAAAATATAGGTAATTCTAAATAGAATTAAAATAATTACTTCTACTATAAAAAACATAAAATTGTCAGCATGGCTATAAAACATTGGAGCATAAACTTAATGACCATAAATAAGCTATTATTATTTTAGTACTTATAATTTACTATAACTAAGAAGTTAGTGAATTTTGATACGTCTTAAGTGTGGTAACCCTAGTAAACGTCCAATGTCAACCGGTCGAGTGCGCGGGAGTATTGGGATCGACGTCTTTCACACAGTCACCGTTGCGTCACAGACGCCTGCGCCGCGCTGCGCCGGCGCGACTTTGCCTAGCCACCATACCGCTGCAAACTTGACACACTTCCGCGGCACACTTCACACTTACCGACATGGTCGTCTCTATTAATTACCGAGAAGTGTTAACTTACCTTTGTTACTATTTATAGAGAGCACATGCCAGGAAATACTATTTGAATTTAATACCGTATGTTATTTACCGTATTGATAGTGAACGAACAGAAAGGTGTTGCCAAAAATAATTATATATAGTCTGTCAAATAGTTACAAGTTTTCCGTTACAATCCACTAGTATACGAGTACAACTAAGTAGGTAGCAATAGTAGGTGACCGTCTTATAGACATTCCATACATTAAAAATCTAATATGTTTGTCTTATTAAATTGTGCAACTTCATTAGATATTCATCAAGATTAAACGATTGCTGTACAATTTAAATATGTTTTCTTTATAAATAATATCAAACATCCTTCAACATGAAACCTGTGTACCACAAATAATAATAAAAAATAATAATAACAAAAAAATATTATTACTTTTGACAACCTGTTTTAATGTATATTGCATAAATTTATTATTACATAATAAAAATTAGTGAAGAAACAGGGCTACCTCAAGCATATTCTGCACAAGACTACAAAAATCAAACACTACGTAAATATTGACATTTATGATACTAAAATTGTATTCTCGTGAAAGTCGATTAGTGACCAACCTTTAATCTTTTATTGTTCATAAAAAATTTAAATGAAATATTTAAAATGAAAGAGCCACAATATATACCACATGGAGTGTGTAGCTTGTATGGAGTGCACATAAATATATTTATATAATCCAATTAGCCAACCTCAATCATTATTTATTTATTTATTTCTTTTATACTTTATTGCACCAAGTAAACAGAGAAATAACAAATATAGTAAATATTAATAAGAAGTGATACAAAAGGCGGCCTTATCGCTAAGCAATCTCTTCCAGACATTCCGTCCATTGCTGGACATAAGTCTCATCATCACCACCTCAGTCATTATCCGTCCATTGCTGAACATAAGGCTCTCCCATAGATTATTTGGGGAGGTTTGCCAGTAGTTGCCACGCTTGGCAGGTGCATTGGCAACTACAGTCAGGCCTTAGTAATGTTTTAAGAAAGACTCTGCTGTCCATCCCTCGAACATAAGTCGCCTCTTATGACACCCACGGGAAATGAAGTGTAGCCTATTTTATACCAGGACTTACATATCAACCAACTTGTCTAATGATATTTAATTATCTTATTTATTGCCTACTAATTATTTATGTCTTAATACCGCAAATTTAGAAAATGAATAATCTCTCATCCTGATTACAATAAAATAATGCTATCGTAATATTACGTTGGCATTATTTTATCTGTTCTCCGAAACTTTATTCCCTAATGGTAGTAGATTATAAAGTGACCCCAAATATGTTGTAATACTGTGGTATCAACAATTGCTTTCATCTCTGAGCACGCATCGAGTTAAGCAATGGCGGCATCGAGGAATACACGTTCACTTTCAAAAATCCTTTCGCTAGATCATTATTATGATACACTACACCAGTATCAGTATTAAACTATTATGCATTAACAGCGTTTATAAAATTAAATATTTTACTTCAATTTAAAGCTTTGATATATATTTTTTAACTTAAGAGTTTCCTCTTGCCAGAATAGTTATTTCATACATTCTCCTCCATCCAGCTCTATCCCAAACTATATTCTTCATCTCTCGATATGACACCTAGTCTTTGCTTTGTCTAGTGTTTCTTGGTTTTCCTCTTCCCTTTTGCTCTTTATCTTTCCTTCTAGGATGTTCTTTATTTTAAATCAATAAGCGATTCTGTTTCACTTTACATCTGGTATGAGAAATTAGGTGTTAAAATTTCGAACTTGGAATTATGTGTATTCTTTGGTCTAGCTTTAATCCCGGATACAGGATTAGGTTTCCTGTATTTCTTCCACTTCTATATTACCTCATCTTGTCCATCTATCTTAAACAAGGTATTAACTTGCAAGTCAGAGTATCTAACCAACGCTTTTTGAACCGCACTCGTAATCTAGTACTATCAAGTTAGACCATTTTATGTTGGCAATCAAAATAATATGCTAATTCTCATAAAATATTTGTATTGTACAAGTTGTTTTAATTACATAATAACTTACATAAATGCAAGTTTCAGCGGGAATTCCAATGAAAAATTAAAAAGTCTCACAAGATGGAGACACATTGAGAAACTCTCAGGTACAAAAGGGATATGATGTAAAACTATTAACATAAAACTATAAACAGTATGTTTTTGATATTTTATTTAGTTATAACATTCAGGTTACGTTCCGAACATGTCCCACTCAATAAATTTATCACCTACTATAATAAAATAGAAGACTTTTTACGTTTGTGGCGAATGTGATTGGAATCGCAATTTTTCACAGGAAATTTAAGACGTCCCAAATTTTTAAACATAACATGTTAAGTAAATAATTTATAATTGAAAATATTCCAAATCTCAAATGTGCATTTGCATTAAAAATTCCTAAAAGATGCCAATAAAAAAAGTTCTAACATAAGGGTTCCTCTTGTATTTTTTTAGTACGGAATCCTAAAAAATATCTGTACATCGACTAGTCATTTGACTTTTATATTAGTGGTATACGTAATCGTCGACAGCTGTTCTATTCCATTCGATAAAGTTCTAGCACGTCATCATTTTAAACAACTAACATAGATCAAAGGTTTAATGAAGTTATAACTAAGCCACTGCTGCTACTTTAAGTGTAAATTTTACTGTTTTAATGTACCTAATGACTTCTTTACTTGGCGCTACTTTAATTGTGTTCAATTTCATTATATGAACTATGCATTTTAACTTATTCATAAAGACTCATAAATCAATGCGATTTCATATTTATATTGACCATTCACGGTATTGAGTTCCATGGACTCGTTTAGAAATATTCGAAATAACGGTGCGACCCTCTATCGTTGTTTAATAAGAAACTCACGCGTGGTTGTCACGGCCGCATCTTGCTGTCATATAATAATGTGCACTACTAATACTCTGGTACAATTTATATCAATTAAAACTACATCGAAGATAAAGCAAAAAATAATACATATATTTCATATTCTACCTTACATGTATGTATAATTTCAAGTACTAAAATAAATTAGCAAAAGTCAATTTCGTTAACACAGATAGTAAAGTGTTATTCTGTGCTATCTACTACTTTCTAGAAATATTGATGTGGTCAAACCTGGTTAATTAACTCAGTCCACTACGTCGTACGTCTCTGTACGTACCTGCTGTTATTTATTTCAATACATCAATTGACCAGTAAGTGTCATCGTACATATTATGTATACTACGTTCACGTTTTTCAAAAGTGTATAATTGCAACTTTTCTTTGCTATATATACTTCATTCAACTAAAATTACGATTTTTTTAAAATGTTTACTACTAAACGCGTTCTAAAGAAACATGGAATTGGATTAACATAATTACATTTTATTGTAATTAACGTGGAGTAACATTAAATTTCATTATTCGCAAATTAATTAACATAATGCTCGTACGTAGATATATGTGTACAGAAATTTACATTCTACCCAACACAGCTGTGAAATGTGAATAAATCAGCGATAATTAATCATTCATTAATTAAGATTGTTTCCGTGTTTCGATATACTAGCTGAAGACGCACAAATAATGTTATGAGAGAATGTTCCTGCATCCGGCACCGGTGGGAACTAGACTTATTCGGTAATCTATATGACACAACTGATGATTGTATGAACCACTGAATTACAAGATAATATTCGACACATAACAACTTTGGTTTACAGATTTTTAAGATTTGTCCACTAAATTATAAAACATACGCTAATTTCTCGCGATAATTCATCTATTATACAATTGACAGACAATTAGCTGTACTTGCTCCGTAAAAAGCAAATTAGGTATAGATAGATATACTTAATGATTTTTATCGTACTTACCGTTCATGTTATATAATTTTCCTAAAGCCCTCTAGTACTACTGTACTAGAAATATAATTACGTACAGAATAATAATAAATCTCTTCGACTTGGCCTTTCCCCCTCATTTACGTAAAATAGAAACGTGAATTTATATATCCGGATTAAAGATATAATTTATATGCCTTTAATTCCGAGTTAAGTTAATAAACTTTTATTCTTCTGGTTTCAATCTCTCTACATATAGATTAGAATTTGTCGATTTGAAATAGGAAATTAGTGACCAAAATTAAATATATGAAACTGGCTGACCCCGCTAACTTTGTATCGCCTAACAGACGATTCTTTAATTTTTTAGTTTTTTTAATACTTATTCTACTATTCAGGACGCTGGGTCAGCTAGTTAGATAAAAAAAAAGATAGTTAATAAGTCGACAATTACATTATGTCAAAAAATAAAAATTATAAAACACGCCGTGCCACATCACTCAATTATTTTGCCTTCCCGGAATACTAACACTTGAACTTTAGGGTATGGTATTAAAGTTCAAATTGACTTTTAAGTATTATTACGAATCATTTGTATGGGAGCATAGAAAAGTGTTATTTTTAGTCTTTTTCAGGCAATTTTTAAATTTTTTCTCTCCATAAGAACCATCCTCGTACTTCAAGGAATATTCTAAAAAAATAATTAGTGACATCGGTTCAGCTGCTCTCAAGATTTACGCTTAGCAACATATTCAGCGTTTCATTTTTATATTATTGATAATATAAAATTTATATAAACAACGTACTCATACATTGTTTTTTTTTTTTAATCAGTAGGCTTTTACCTTAGATTACATAGATAGAGTCTTGAGTCTTAAAAACGGGTCAACTTTTTGTAAGCTAATTATAAAATTAGCTGACTCGTTTTTTTTTATTAGTGTTCTACATACGTACGCATACAATGTACTCGTATCTTGAAGTATTATTTAATAAATAAAATGAGTGTTTATGCATTAAAAAGATGCAGAAATTATAAGCCAAAATAAATATAGAAGTTATAAAGAAATCATTTATAACTATTTATCACGCAACATTGTATGAAAATGTTGTCCCGCTTTTCTCGAAGCATTTATTTGGAGACACTTTATCTATAAATTCTAAGGCTTTTATTTATATCGCTATATATAGAAATAACTGATTTATTTATTAAGTTATCAAAATCTTTCGTCAAGATTGAATTTTTTTCTAAAAAGATATTAATTGCATTGAATATTAATAAAACGGAAAAATGAACTATGAAAATACAATTGAAAGAAATAGTTGCTTGTTATATTTACTGGTCAAAATTACGATCACAGGATAATCTGACCTTGACATTGATCTCTTCTAATAGATTGTACCATGAATACAAATCAAAAACATATTTTAAATTGAATGGTGTAATCTTGGTTAAGGTCAAAGTTACGGCCAAAAGATGGCCTAAGCTCAGGGCCTTTGCATTGACTTTAACTATGAGTATAAATACTATTTGAATCTCAAATAATGCTTTTGAATAGAATTCCTTCACTAAACAGTATCGTTTATTGATCATTTAAAATTAAAAGTGATCGTACTGACGAGTGTGATATTAAAATTGAGTAATCTTACTTATATTCTAAGTATAGCCATATATTAAACACGTAGTATGTAGTCGAACAGTAAACAATTTCTCTTTGTTTATTTTTCAATATAAATAAGTACGAAATGTCTACCTTATTTTTAGGGAAGAAAGTAGACACATTCCAAACAAGTGTGGCAAAACTTGTGGCAAAGTGTGGCAAAATTTATATTCACATCAAAATCAAACTATAATCTGTTCTATAGTAATATAAACCGGGATATGTTTGCTCTGGTAGTACATGCATACTAAATTTTATAATGATTCACCAATCACTATAAAATTTGGTATACACGTACCTTTTATCCAGGTTGGTGAACTTCTCCCGGTCACGCGAACCATGTCGCGTGTAAAAACTATTGTTATTACAATGCAGTTTACTATTTTATTGAGCAATTGTAAGTAATGGGGTAAATGTAGCTGTTAAGTTGCTAGAGATAAGAAACAAGCAAACTCACTTTCACATTTATTACATTAGTAAGGATTGAACAGAAAACATACTAACTATGCGTCTCTGAAATGGATGGATGAGTGCTTACAAAATTGCAGACACCAGTTAATAATTAATAAACCTTCACATTATTCTGAGGTGTGTATATAATATAGATATGTTTGTCACTCATGAACCTTTAGCCTAAGATAATAAAACGATGTAGGCCGTGAGGTCAATTGCCCTAATGTTACTCACAGTCACGACCTAAATATTTTGCCTTGGTGCGAACTGTGAGGTGTTAATATACTAGCTATAACCCATATCTTTGCTTGCGTGGATTTAAAATAACAAGTATCATAGATATTTGAAAAATATAGCTACCTCTATATCAATTATTAATCATTCTTTTTTATTTACCAATCTTTACCAACCATCTTTACCAACTTCTAGATTTAACGTATTGATACTAAATTTATATGAAGTTAAAAATTTCGTTGAATTTATATTTAATTTTTTTTTTGTTTCAGTGGCTATGAAGGACAACATACGTGTATCACCTATGAAGCAGTCAACCAAGCTTACTTGGAAGCTAGAAACCGAATTGGTTAGTATTTCGCTTATGATTGCATTAGTATTATAAATATATACGAACTTGTTATTCCTAATTAAAATGCTTGTGTTTTTTACAGTGGTGGCTCAACCAAAAGGCGATTGGAAAGCTGAAGACTTTGCAAGTGTCGGCGAACTCTTATTGGATATCTCGATCAACTTAGCACGGATGTGAGTCAATTATCTTTTGTTTAGAAACTAATACATTTACTGGTATTATTATTGTCTGCAAAATAAATTGAAACTCTTGAATTAGAATTAATAAATAATTACCGACTTCATTACTTTCCATATTTATATATATTTATTCTAAATTTAAAAAAGTGAAGGTCCACTAAGCAACCTGGACGATATTGCAGTAATACTGTAATATTTCTACCATATTCATAGAAAATTCCATTAACTGAATATTAGTATGTACTTAATACCATTCGCTTTCACGATTCGCTGTCACAGTAACGATTTAGTTCGAAAGAAAGAGTCTAAATCTCCAATAAATGAATAGATATCGCATGTTGAACGACTTCTTGAGCTACTTTATCTATAAGTCTATAATACTAAATTTATAGACCCTGGACCCTTTTATTAAAATTTTTATTAAAAAAAGAATTTCATGTACGGTTGTTAATATGTGACGTGTTACACGAAATTACAAGTATTGTATGACGAAACACAAAAATGTTTTGTTAAAATATAAACCTACTTACATTTTAACCACATAGCTGTTTGTATCTTGCAATAGGTGTACTATTAATTATACACGAATTTAATCTTAATTAAAATTTTCTAATTAGATACAGAATAATTATATCAAGCTATTAGGTAGGTATCTACATTACTTATTTACTTACCAACAGATACATAATTTAAAATAGATACATATTGCAGATGTTGAGTAATAAAATGCAATATGAACGCTCTGCATGGTGATAAGATTGCATCGATGTTAAAGCAAACATAACCCAATGACATTCAGTTGAACAATAAACTTTTATTAAACTTCGCTCTATATCCGACCTTGCATAACGCGGCGTGTTCTCATTATCCTTTTGGGTTGATATGAACAGATTAACAATGGTTGATCAGTTAGAAAGGCTCCCAAGGCTGGCTGGTCATCTGATCACACGAAGCCAAGTTCTTTTGTCTTCTTAATTTATTCACGGACAATGAACCACTCACGACGCGGAAAACTAAACATGAATGAGCATCACGCAGTGAATGTGACAGGTTGCAAACGGTTACCATTATAGAATAATAACAGCGATTATAGTCTAGTTCGATATGCACTATTTCGATTAATTTAAGATAAGATTACGTTATGTTAGTTGTTTAACACTTTAGTAACACATCAGTAGGCACTATTTATATAGAGATACAAATAGTATGAGCTGCTAATATACAATATTACTATTATACAAACCACAATATATACAGAAGAGCAAGTAACTTATTTAATATGAATAGATGAGAAAATCAAAGGCCTAATTTTCAACTTAATACTTAGTAAAAGGCCGGCAGCACACCTGCAATGCCTTTGGTGTTGTGAGTGATCATGAGCGGCGGTAGTCACTAACCATCAGGTGAGCCGCATGCTCGTTTGCCCCGTGTTGTAAAAAAAAGTAAGGTCAAAAGTATAATTTTATGATTTATGTGTTATACTAATTAAAATCATAACAGATATACAATACGAAAGTGAATTGATGTAGACACAAGAGGAAAGATAGTAAGCTATTTTAATCACATAGAATATGATCATATACCATATTCTATTCAAGAGACAAACAAAATTCTCCGCAACTGAATTCTAGAAAGTGCATGAAGCAAGAAATGTATGTAAAGATGGAGACTTTTGAGGATAGAGAACCGAGTGGTGCTCTCTAATACACACTACTACACACTACACTACACTACAAGAATTGAGTATAAATAGATTAATAGACAAAACCAAAACAATAATAATATTATTATAATGATAATTATCATAATGTCTCCCCTAGCACCTGCACCTTATAATTTCACAAAATTTGTATATATATATATATATATATATATATATATATATATATATATATATATATATATATATATATATGTATATATAATTGCACATGCACAATCCAACATATCATATCCTCTCTCAATTTACATTTACACTTTAAAAGAAATTATTCTTTCACTGTCGTACACGAACATGGTCTGGCGATTGCCAGATTGATACGCAAATTCTACTTAGTGCTCGAGTACTCAATTTACTTTAATTCTTTCTTACTAAAATCATAACATAATGTCAACTTTTTTTACTTTGATCAGACATAGAGAATTTCCCAACTTTAATCCAAATATAGATTTAAGTGTATGATTTTAATTAATATTATTTTTAACATCATATTATTAACAAGTAATTTTAAGTTTCTCTCTAAGTTTTTATACAATAAATGCTAAATATATACTTAATTAATTTTTTGCACATGGTGTACAAGAGCCCTTGATCTTAAAATCTGGTATCCGTCGTTTACAGGCTGTGCACTGACCTTTTTAAGTGAACGGAATACGTAAATGTCATCTCCGTCCACTCATTAGCGTAACTGAAGTACTAGTTTCTGAATCAGTGTCAGTGACTCAGAAACCGACAGCCGGAAACATGTCATGAAGTAACTACTGCGTTTAATGTAGTGGTTTAGTTCCTCGTCTATTCAATATACCTACCTATTCAAAAACATAAATTACTATGTATGAAGCATATTGAAAAGACAAAGCCATTAGGCGTAACGATTAAATAAAAGATAAATGATCTTAACAGATGGAGAATTTAAATGAAGATTATGTGTAACGTATGCCAGCTAAATAGTGAAGGGCGTGTGGGTCACGGCATATATTTAAAAATAGATTAAAACATACTACGTTAGTCCCATAAGAGTCATGATAGTTACCACTTTTTATCACATGCAGGACTATTATATATTTGTGATAAATTTCTCACATTTTTTTTCGGAAATATATTATTTCACTGATTATACTTTTAGTCTTTGTATTTCCTAACAATTTGTTCTATATTAATGACTAATTACATTACATTATTATAACTATGCAATTGGATACATACAATATTCTACATAAATTGCAAATGCCAAACTGCTCAAGGTTAATGTTCGTCATATAATTATATTAGGTAAGTCTATCATAACTTGAACTATATTCAAATAATTTATTTCACGTAGGTAACGCGCTTATCGTTGCATATCATCGCGAAGGTCACCGCATAGAATTCAATTTTACTTGTCTTTACATGATTGACATATCTAGGTCGCGACTACACTGATACTGATATTGATACATATTGTTGTATTATAACATGACATACGGTACGGCTTCTGTATAATGTCAATGATACGGGCGTCTAAACAAGCAATACATAATTATTTGCACATTGTAAATCATTGACATTACATTATAAAATATTAATTTGTATATTTTCTATCTATAGTAACGTTTCACAACGGGTCCCTTACAAAATAAACAAGATTATTAAGCGCTAACGGTTTCTAACCATCTCTCACTTTGGTCCATTTTCACAATTCATCTCACACATATTTCATAAACTCGTCTTTTTAAGACGGAACAAAAATTTATATGCATCAATCAAATTAACATAATATCTCAGTTTTCCACCGATATTTTCCTATAAATTAAATAACTCTCGGACCATAGGTAAGTACTAACTAGTTATGTAACTTTTAGTGAGATTAAATAAAAAAACCAAACGTCAAATCATGTAAAGATCAAAAGTCACTAGGTAATCTCAAGTAACTTGCTCTACAAACGACTACGTAATAATACTGTAATGGCAACTTTGAAGTACGAATATATACCTACCTGCTTGGTAATAAAATTATTACTTGCGCAATAAAAAACCTACACGACACGTGGTGAGAAGTATACTTTTCTAAATTTCATTTATATTAACATAAAATTCTCATTTGAATGCATCGATTGACTCATAAAATAATGCTTTTGTAGGGTTATGGGTAAAGTGATTAAGAATGCTGTTATATAATAATTAAGATAAGCTACAAGTGCTTTGCATTCAGTCGACGCTTTCAAAACTATTCTTGCATAACTAAGCAGAACGTTATTAACCCTCTTCTATTCTTTTCATGGCCTAAAAATGGTATCTTCATTGGTCAAGCGCCTTTTTAACTGTTTACTACTGTTTATGCACTGAAATTATTTCGAAACTATGAACGAAATCTCGTGACCGTTAAGCTCTTAAAACAAAGTCACGTATTGTCTAATACGGTGATAAAGCGATTATTTTATAGCTCTAAATTTATGTATCAAATAAAGGTATATGATAGATAATTAGATAGATAGATAATTTATTTGCATAACTTACAGCACACAAACAAAAGACACAAAAGCAATGTGAAAAAAGATAAAAAAGATACATGTACAAAAGATTAAAAAAAAAAAAAAAAAAACCAAAAACAAAATCAGAATGCATAATAATTTTTTTTTTTTCTTCATTTTGCCACAGTTTGGCCACAACTACTTTTTGTTTATGAGCAAAACACTGATATTCTGTTGTGACCAAAAATGAAACTAAAAAAAAAAAATAAAAAAAAAAAGAAATATAGATCAAATACATAGTGACCGTTTTAGAAGAAGGGTAGTCTTAATTTCTATCAAAGCACAAAACAAAATGAATACCCAAATTATACAAATACAACTAGTTACATAAAAGCATATTAAAGAGGCAACAGCAGTGATAAAGACGATTATTTTATACAGAAAAGTAATAAGACTAAAATATGAGAGAAAAAATGGGTAAGAATCAATTTAAACACAGCAATATAAATAAAATAGACTAATAATCATAATAATAATTAAATCCTTATAATATAAAAAAGATAAACGTAAATATCAAATATGAGTGATATATTGTTTAAGCATCAAAGATATAAAAAAAGATATTGTATATATATGTATATATATGATGTATATCTATTATAAAAAGATATAAAAATTATTGTAATTCTATTATTATTATGTTTGTATTGTAATCAGCAAGTTTGCCTTTATTATTTATTTGTACGTAAACATCAATTCAATGATATCTTATTTGTCAAATTTTAAATAAAAATGTTTATAGATGAGTTTAATAAATAAAGGCGTGAGGTGGTACAATCATAATCTTTTAGACTTCTTAAAAAAACTTACAAATTCTCACGAGAACAAGAAACAACAAACCCCACGCGGACGAAGCCGCAAGAAATACCTTTAGTGAATATTTTAAAACTATATATAAAATAAAGCATATCAATTATAAATGAATCATCTAAAAAATAAAAATATATGTATATGTATGTATATAAACTATACTATTTTGAACTTGTTCATAAATAATCCAAATATCACTCACTAATGCAGTCCTTATGTAGTAGAGTAATAAGTGTTATAAGTAAATATCGAGTAATAAATATAATGCATTACGTCTACAACATATAATAATAATAAACCTTGGCATTTTTAAATTCATTATCAAATTGTAACTAATATTATTTATATTTACCAATAAAGTATTATTTAATGCTGATTGCATACATATGGATTAATCTCTCCCGATTTTTTATTTAAATGTTGATATATATCATGTACATATATTTGTACATAAATAAATTATTAAAAATTAACATTGATTAAATAGTTTTGTTTGAATGATTGATAAATCATCACATTTACAAACGTATATACCGATTACAAATGTCAGAAGATGGTTTACTAAAAGTACTGTTTTCTACAGATACGGATTAACTTACGAAGAAATCGAAAAAGGCCTACCCCTGATCGACACTTCACGAACACTTATCCGAGAAGTATGCCCCCCAGTATTCTCACACGTCGAATGCAGAGCTGGTAAATACAGAAGATTCGATGGACTTTGCACTAACCTTCAACATCCAACTTGGGGTGCAACTATGGCGCCCTTCCAGAGGTAAGTCATAAATGTCATGACATTTACCCATGAAATTTTAAATAATAACTTTTAAAGTATAATATTTATATGTACCTGAGAGAGACGTTGTACAAAAGTTGATGCATTAGTACCTCTGTCTGTTCCATGTTTCTACCATGAGGCAGCTGTGCTTACATAGCTGGAAACAAATCTTAGTTCTCAGGAACAGCAACATAGAGTACACTATGATGCACTTGGAGTACCATAAGCATCATAGTATGTTTTAGGGTGTCCAGTGTCCATCAAACAAGCCATCAGCTAGTTTGCCATTCTAAGTATCCAAAAAAAGCATGTATTTTTGTAGTTAATGTTTTTTTTTTTAATTATTAATTGAACGAAATAGGAGTAAAATGAAAGATTCATTATTATTGAACCCCTGTTCTTTCTCCCTCCGTGGATAAGTAATAGTAAAAACACTATATGCCCTTTTATGAGAGAATTTAAAATAACGAAATAAAAAAAAATAATTGAATAATTTTGAAATGTTATCAGATTGATCGGCCCACTATTTTCTGACGGCATCAATGCTCCGCGTATCTCGCACACTGGTCGCGACCTCCCACTCTCGAGGGTGGTCTCGCGCACCATGCACCCTGATGAAGGCTTCCATGATCACGCTGGTACCGTGATGGTCATCGCCTGGGGCCAGTTTATGGATCACGATTACACACTTACTGGCACACCGCTTGGTAAGCTATAACCAAAGTTTAAATGAATTTATTGTATATAGATGTAAATAGTTGAGTTATAGTATTATATATTATATGTATTATATTATTGTATTATTTTTAGTATCTTAATATATATATATATATATATATAAATTTTTAATAACATTAAATTTTATACTTTGATACTACATGTAGTTATTATTTTATACTAACTACTATTACAATTACGCATAGGAAATCCAAAACTTGTAACTCATTACTTTTAATTACTATTCACTTTCATACTTTACTTTCTAATTGCAAGTATAAATAACATCAAGTTGCGAATAAGCAAAAAGTGTGGTCAAATTAATTTTATATATGCGGTTATATATTCACCAAGATATTTCTAATGGACAAACTCGATAACGCAACATTAATTTCATGAATAAATCCACTAACAAACAATATATTGTACATGGAGGATAGCAATGCGGATCTATCATGTTGTACATTATCTGACAACGTCGTGGACTACTGAGCAACGTTGCTAAATATTTTGAATACTCTTTGTTTGTGTTGATGTCTTGAATAAATTTCATTATCTCAACTATATAATACTATTTAAAATACTTATACTTTGTCCTAGTGTATGTATTATATTATATATACACACGATCGATTTTAAAGCCATGTTTGTGTCAGCTATTTTAAAATCAATGTGAATCACTGAATGAACTACAGGATTTTAATACTTCTATGACCTTGGTGCTGTAGCTGTTTAATGCACTGCCTCACCTTTCGATGGTACCATATTCAATCTCCTTGCTTTGCTTAATTTGAAATTAGATGACGCTGTGTAATATATAAATAAATAAAATGTGTTCAGTAGCACTTATTTGTAATTTTTATTATCCTACTCGCAGATCCCGTTAACCGGAATGATCCCGAAGAATGCTGCAAGCGACCCCCACATTTAAAACATCCATACTGCAATGAAATCCGAGTACCTGATGATGACTACTTCTACCGTTTGTTCGGAGTGAAATGCATTGACTTCGTGAGAGGTTTCCCTTCACCGCGCCCAGGATGCAGATTGGGTAAGTTCCAATAACTACCAAATAAAATTATAAAGTACTCTTATTTAGCTATTTAAAAAATTGTATAGTGCAGTGATTTATGTACCTTTTATCCTGATTTGTAAAATCGCAATGATTAGGAGTTCAAATTTGACTAATACAAAAAAAAAAATTGTATTAATTTTTAAATTTTTACTTACTCTTTGTGAAGAATTAATCCTAGTTACGACGATTTAAATACTCTCAGAAATATTTACATTATCCCGAATTTTTATTCATAATATACATGGTAATGGAATAGTAACCTTGCCTACGCTAACGGTATGCGCCAGCGGGGCACCAGTGAATGGTGATAGTTTCCAGGGGTGGGGGGTGCACGTGGAGGTCGACTTGACAGGATATATTGCTATCAATGCAACTGGTAGTCCGCATTAATGTGTGATGCATGTCAAGAGCTACATTCACTCCCGATAAATACTTTTCATTACCCCATCTGAGATTACAGTTACGAAAATATAAAAGGCAAAGGTATTCTCTCCAATTCCCGTGATAATTTCGAGAAATCTTTTTTTACTTACATAAGAAATAATAAAAAAAAATCAAATACAAAATACGATGCTATACGTATACCAACCTAGTATTTGTTCTTCAGTGTTGAAACTTTTATTAAGCAGATTTCAACACCATCACGTTGAGTTTGTACATAAATACCTATTTAAAATGTTTTTCAAGTATCCTATCTTTTGTGTAATAATTGTTTTCTCATTGAGAAACAATCTTCATTACAAGTAACACAGTAACTCTTTCATTTTTACATAAACTAACTAAAATATTTTAAACAAAAAGGGACACCAGTGGTTCTTTTATCATTTCTGTCTGTCTATTATGTAGGTTACTAGAAGTCGGTATAAAAAACTCGATCTTCATTAATGCTATTGAAACAAATATTGATCGCAAAATTCTGACTTAACCACTAAAATTGTTATAAAATAAAACCACCTTTTCACTTAATTTTAAATTCTGAAATAATGAAATTCAATCACGTACTGTGAGTCGACCTGTCAACAGACGTCATGTGGATAGTTAAGCAACCGCAGCCGAACACTTTGCGGTTGCTTTACGACATTTTATACATAATTCGAATCTACTGATACATGAGACTTCGATAATGTACACCTTGTGTTCTGTTTACTCAACTTTATTAATTTTTTGATGTATTAATAATTATTATTTTTGACATAAAATAATCACCGGCTAATTTTTATTCACTCGCGTCGGAATCGAAATTCGTATCTACCTATACCGAAAAGTTTGCCTGTACTGAATCTATATAAAAAAAAACTTTACATTAGAAATTAGTAATCGAATAAGTGATCAATTAATCATATTAGTAAATAATGAAAAAAAACAATTATCTAATAATAACAATTAAATTAAAAATCGTACTAATAATATTTAAATTGAAAAATTTGTAGAGATGTTGGATATTTATTATTCAATCACACTAAATGTATTTGAATAAAATTTAGAATATACACATAGACAGACCTAACGAAATTAAGACATAAAATACTTATATCCTAATTCAAGCGAGCAAAGCTGCGTGATTTAACTAGTATCAAATATAGAATGATTGACATATGAACACGATTTCCGTATAACATAATATAATCCGGTCACAGAATAGCCGGCCCTCGACCTTTGAACCATCTTCTAAAGAGAGGGAAAGTGAACCGCGACGGTTACGTGCGCAGTTCCCAGCTTGCGCAATCTAGTGCAAAACATTCGTCGACACTGGTCGCCACTTCTGTTAAACACATATAAATTAATTCATGCATTTCTCTCATATTCAACATGTGGGAGAAATTTAATTCTCATTCTGATAATATTGAAATTCAAAAAATATCCATTCATTAACTGACTGTTTATTCGGTGATGATAAGTCCGTAATTTTCTATCGTTAATTTCTTTATAAAAATGTATCCAAGTGAAAATTGATACATAAAAAAATATATTTTTGCTAATAATATTTACTTAATGTAGATAATGTAAAAAATATAATTACGCGTGATTTTAGTAACATCAAAAATGTTTGTTTAATTTTATACCGCAACTACTAATTACTTTTTAAACACGTACCTAATACCATTACCTGCCTTTATTTTAAAATACTCTTAAAAACATATCTGCTAAAATACAGGTGCAGTGATGAAATATCGTATACCAAACGTAATGGAAGATAAACTTGTGGTAATAAACTTATATTAATTATTTATGTTACTTTGAAGGTTATCCAGCCCATATAGATGTCTATACCAAACTTAAGAATGATTGTTTACAATTTATTAACTATAAACTTATTCGATTAATTACCTTGCAGACGTTGCAGATACAGTTACTTAAAGCAAATGTATCTGCAATGTCTGCAAGGTACTTAATCGAAATTAACTGAAATTTTAAAATCACAAGACGATTACTTGACACTAACACCATCTGAGGTTGGGGGTAAAGGGATTGTTAGCAATGGAGACTGAGAATTCCATTGCTAGCAATATACTCAACCAGGTCGACCTCCTCGCGGTTCTCCCTGGAAACTATCATGGTTAATTCCTGATGAATTCATCATGATGGGCAAACTGGCCTGTTTTCGTTCTCATCTATCACCCTTCACTGGTGCTCCGCTAGCGTATCCCGATGGATACGCAGGTGGAGTTACCATACCATTTTCACCCAATAAAAAAAACATCATCTGAGGGATTTTTCGTAAACACGAACACTCTACTTACATTACTTCATACAATGAATAGGTCAAACTGTATCTCATGATTTCCTCAACCAATTTTTTTAAAACAGGTCCCAGTTTTAAGTTGGCCAATATTTACGCCATTGTCAAATTTCATTAAATATCCGATTCAGCAATTTTCTCCAAACATTATTATTAAACACAAAGAGAACACCAGAAAAGATATCAATTCTATAAAAAAAAACCTGATTTGGGCTCCATTTAACATAATTCTAATTACCTAGCTAAAACCAAGTAACGAAAAATTAAAATATATGCTGCCATTTGGTGTTTGGTTCTTTTTTCCAACTCCGAGAAAAAACAATCATGAGAATATAATACGGATAAGATAATGTTAACGACTATAGATTATAATGCAAGAATTATGTAATTTTTTTTTTTATTTGTAGGATCGAGAGTTCCCTTCAACACGCTAACTGGAGTACTTGATGGAAACACAGTATATGGTGTAACAGAGAAATTCGCTAGGTAATGTATTACATTAATTAATCCTGAATCACACATCACAAAGAACGCAAGTGGGTAAGATCTACTTTGCTGTCTTTTCAAATTATATGCCTGATTAAATATAGTACATTTAAATTAAAATGAAAACCCTATTCTAACAAATAAAACATCACTATAGAGAAATTTAAACATTCAGTCGCAAATTCCATACAAACTTTGTCTGTAAAATACAGTAAAAGGTACTATTTAAAATTTAACTGTATCATTTTTGTTTGCGATAACAGCGACAATTTTGTGCTGATATTGATGATTCTTTTAATTAAAATTATTTACACCCACACATATTGGTAACATATTAATATTATTGAAGTTGCGGTCCGATTAGCCCTTCTCATAAAATTAAGGTCATTTCTCGGCTATATAACTAACACCTTCAGCGTCTGCATCTTAGCTTTATTCAATCACAATCTCACCTTTATTCTGAAAGTGTATCTTCGATATAAATATTAATTTTTTGTATGTAGTCCTGTTTGATCTTATGCTGTCTTAGAATATAATGGAAATTAAACGTTATAATACTTAGCATGAAATAGTTGTGTTTAACGATAATAAAGTACTTTAGATCTACTACATAGGTACATAGCAATAAAATTTAGTGAATATTTTGGGTCTGTTATTAAAAGAACATTGTGATTTCAGAAAACTACGTACAGGCTTCGGTGGTCTTCTCCGTATGAACCCAGTTTTCAAAGAGTATGGACTGAAGGACTTGCTGCCACTGAAACTCGACATTCCAGATGAAGGATGCACTCGACCAAACAAGAATATGTACTGCTTTGAAGCTGGTTAGTAAAAATATTTTTTTTAAATAATATTAATAAACATTTAAAATTTTTTTTTATAATAATATAAATGGAAAATCTATTTCTAGTATACGTACTAGATAAAAATTGAAATACTTTTTTCAGTAAAGACTGTTGTACATTATCTGACCTTCGTTGTAAAAGCCTTATAACAATAACGATATTGATCTTAAATAAAAAAGAAATAAAATATTAGCAAATCCATTGTAACAAGAGATCTAAATCATAATACAAGTAATAACACTATCTTAATTAATGAAGTTATATATATATATATATATATATATATATATATATATATATATATATATATATAAACTCTTCCTCTGGTGTCAATTCCAGGTGAAATCCGAGTAAACGAACAGTTGGTTCTAACTGTGATGCATACACTCATGGCTAGAGAACACAACCGCGTTGCTCGTGGTTTGGCCGAAGTCAACCCCCACTGGGACGACGAGACGCTGTTCCAAGAGGCACGGCGTATCAACATTGCTGAAATACAGCACATCACTTACAATGAATTCTTGCCTATTTTGCTAGGTAAAGATGTCATGGAGAAGTTTGGTCTGGTACTTCAGAAAGAGGTAACATTTACTAAAATTATAATGCAAATAACAAGTAAGAAATAAAGTAATATATATAGTATCTAATAGCAATTTACATTGATTAAATGAGTATAAAACACATTGTAGGGTTATTGGGACGGTTACGATTCCGACGTGAACACCGATGTGATCGACGCGTTTGCTGCTGCCGCGTATCGCTTTGGCCACTCCCTGCTGCCTACAGCTGTTGAAAGATGGTCTAAAGCACATAAATTCATTGGTGAGTGTAGTTGTAATATAGAAGTGTATGTGCTCTAGGCGTAACTAACAGCAATAACACTAACTACAATTTCTATAGTTTGTAGAGATATTTTGCTTATTTTCAATAACTATTTCAAACAAAATAATATTATTACTGATTCTATTGTTACATATTTGTACTCCTTACTTCATCAACTTCCATAATTTATTTTGCCTTCTTTCTTTTTTAATTACTATTCATACCAACGTATATCGAAATGGACCTAATACTAGTTTGGTGCAATACCAATTAAAAAACTCTGTAATCGTGTCTTTGAATCTTATTAAATAAAATTCTATTAAAACTGATTTATAACAATTAAACGTAACGAGGCCCTATTACTCGTATTATACTTGAATTAGTAAATTTATAACATACATAGCTAATATGATTTATCTTTTATTTCAGCATCAAAGAGATTATCAGACCTTATTCGCCGACCCTACGACCTATACAGAGCCGGTGTGCTCGACGAATACGTAATGGGATTGATGAACCAAGTAGCTCAAGCTATGGATGACTCCATTACACAAGAAGTTACGAACCATCTGTTCAAGAAAGTAGGCGCCCGGTTTGGAATGGACTTAGTCTCGTTCAATATGCAAAGAGGTCGTGAGTTTGGACTGCCTGGGTACATGGAGTTTAGAAAGTTCTGCGGTTTATCTGGAGCCGAGACTTTCCAGGACCTTTTCGGAACTATGTCTAACGACACAGTACAAAAATATCAAACGATATTTGAACATCCAATCGATGTAGATTTGTGGTCCGGTGGTGTATCTGAGAGACCATTGCCAGGTTCCATGTTGGGACCCACATTTGCTTGTATTATTGCCACTCAATTCTCTTATTCGAGACGTGGTGATAGATTTTGGTAAGTTTCTATTAATTACATTTATATACTCCAATTTTTTTATTTAATTATAATTATTATTATATTTGCCATAAAATACACACATACATATATTTTCCATATCCTTAAATAATATTTCATAAATATTTTTATGCATAAAATCTTCGATTACTAAGACTTATTATTTATAGGTATGAATTACCAAATCAACCATCATCATTCACACCAGAACAGCTGGTAGAGGTGAGAAAGGCTCGCCTCGCTCGCGTCATTTGTGACAACACAGATATCATTGACACCGTTCAGCTTTATCCCATGGTCTTGCCTGATCATGAATTGTGAGTAAAAGTTTATTACTAACTACATTATAGGGTTTTACAAAAAGAACATAATAAATTTTCAAGAAGGCTGGCACGCGTGTTATGCGCTTGAGAGAGAATGCCATCTGCTATCTTTTGAACACGGTAATGAAAACGTATCAATGAATTCATTTACAATGTACTTAGTGGGGCTGGTGATAAATAAACAACCAACTTATTCATAAAAACGACAAACATCTTAAAAACCTATTTTAGCTGTTGAAGTGATTTTATTTTTCCTTTGCGCTAATTTCATAGTTTAAAAGACAGCGACAAAGCAGTCTAATAGTTAAAATAGATTTGTAGGACGTTTTCGTTTTTTATAAATAAGAGGACAAATGTTTACCATCGATCCGTATTATAATATTACCTGTAACAAAATTCACTCCCTTTCATATAAGGTACTACTTGATAGTAAATGCCTCAAATAGACATTAACATCTTTTCATTTTTTTTTAGAAATCCCCGAGTACCCTGCAGGAGTGGTATAATTCCGTCAATGGACTTCACAAAATGGGCAGAACCAGCACCATTCCAGGGCGCCGCGAAGCAATTCGTGAGTAGCTTCACGTACAACCCATATGTAGGAAAAAAGTAGTCACTGGCACTTAGACTGTAGTGATCAGAGAAAATGCACCTACCGTAGGTAACGGGAAGTTACTGTGTAAATAATAAGGCACAGAGGCAGTAGTGGATCAAGGTTACATATATTATGTTGAACTTTGTGTATAAGACCTAGCAATGAGAATAGAAATATAGAATGTGCCTGCTATTTGCCGACTTCAGTTAAGATTGACAGAGTACCGAATGGGTACAGAGTGTAGATACTTACTTTATATCCCTGTGATACTGTAATTTACGTACTATTATTAAAAATATACAGATTTCTAATATTCAAACATCAATTTCTAATTATCCCTGATCCGCTACTGTAGACAGTCTAGGTCAAAGTTTTTGTCAGCCCCCTAAGTATATTCATAGCAGGCTCCTTACAGAATTATAAGTAGAAAAAAGCAAGTGTAAATTGGTCTTCATCTTTACAATTTTTGCTTCAATCCCTAAATATAAATCTAATTTGAATCAATTATTATTTCAATAGATAACGTTACAATTTATTAGAGTTATATTTGTTTTGCTGAATTGTCAAATAGCTACGAAATTAAAAAGTATTAGCTCCCCAATTTTATTCGGTACCATAAAATCGGCATCAGCAAACATTTTGTAACATACCTATTTACTAAGAGTCAAAATATGTTAATAAGTATCTTATTTATAAACTAGAGTAAGTGACGTGTACAAAATTAATGTAAAATATGGCTTAGCAACGGCCAAATTGCTTGATTGCCATATACTTGTAGCTAAAATATCTAAATGTGAATTGTTATTGATTATGGGATATATGCTCACCTCACTAAGTAGGTACATAATTATAATTACAATTAATCAGACGGATAATACTTTTATATCCATCATTACTGAATATCTAGGGAATTAAACACGTGATAACCAGATTGAATAGCTGTTAGTTTATGATGAAATTAGTAATTTAAATGGAACATAAATTTACAGCCTGTCTATAGAGACACAGCTACACCAACGTATTAAATAAGTACCTACTTATTTTTTTGAGCATGTAGATAAGTACCAATTCATAAACTGGAGATCGGTACATAAAGATAGTGCAAATTGAGATAAGTAGTTGTTAAAAATTAATTTATAACATCTCCACAAGATGTTTTTAGTAAAAAAAAGTAGTAATTTCAAAATCTCATTATTTTTTGTGTATTAAAGATTTTACAAGGAGAATCATAAGATCTTTTTTCTGCTATGTAATCTATACGTTTATCTATTCTAATTTGAAACAGTAAGGTCCTTTTACAGCAATCGTAATAATACTGCTATGTTCAGACATAATATAATCAGACTGTTAAACCTTCATCGTATAGATTTATTATTTAACGTTAAAATATAAAAATGCTTTTTTAAATTTTTTTATGCTTCTTCCATGAAAATATTTTCAAATTATATTTAATACGAATCTAAAATATATTTAGATAGGTAATTTATGTAAAAGTAACTAGGTACTTATGTCTTATTTTTTTTACTGAAATCGTCTTAGGTCTATTTAATTTTATGTATCACCTCCAGTAGTCATAGTTTTATTAGTATCTATTAATAGTTAGTAGTATCTTGTAGATTCTTGCCTGCTTCTAGTAGAATAGTATATTATTATTACGTTTGATCACATAATATTCTATGACTTTGAATCAAACATTTCCATCATGAAAATGTTTTGCCAAAAAACTTAGCGATATCCACTAACATATATCTATTTCAAAGATATGATTTTACTTCTATTAATGTCAGTTTTGAAGTTTGTATGAAAATATTACTATTTAGTCATAATATATAGGTGTTATAGGTATAATTACATTTTATTTATTTTTAAAATAGTCGCACTACACATGTATCTAATTTTAAGACATGCATGCATGGTATGTAGTACTATATATAAGTGTACGGTAAGTTTATGTAAATACAGTGTAAGTAAATAAATATTGGTATCATTCAAATTTGGTTTTATTGTCAATTTCCAATTCCACTAACTTAATATATGTGACTTCTTACACACCTAGAAGTAGATAGTTGTATATCCTAGTGCACATTAGAAAGCTATACGAGATTACAAATTAAAAAATATCAAAGTAGCAGTGGCCGAAGTTTTTTGTCGTGGAACACAATCTTAAATAATTATATATACCTACTGCATTAGACACATACAATATGCACAAAATAAAATCAGAAAGTAAAATAACGAAGTGTTGAATATTAATTAGATATACCTGCTCACTGATCGATTTTGAGCACGTCTAGTTTAGCGAATTTGAAAGTAGATAGTAGCATTGTATGGTAGTTGAAAAGTACAAAGATTAAAATCCACATAGCTTATTATTTTTTAAAAGTCAGTGCTTATTTTTAATTGATATGTGATGGCAATAATCAATTATTTGGTAAGTATAGTCTGTATAAGTTATAGATTATCTACAATAACATGCCAAAATTGACCAAGTTTCACCAAATTTCATCCAAGGATATAATATAATACTCTTATTATAATTATCCAATAAAAATGCATAGATTGTCTATGTTAACATGGTTTCATTAAAAAATCGAATGTGAATCAATGTACGCAGATGGCTCAGGACTGTTCATTAATCTATGGAGGAAGCCTGTTTAACAGTGGGCAGTTAACGGCTGAAACAGGGCCGTGCCTGGGTATATGGCCGCCTGCGTGCCAGTCTGTATGGCCGCCCCCAGGATAACATTAAAAAAAACTACTTTAATTTTTAATGTTTATTATTATACACAGGGCATCAAACCGGGAAAAAAATCAGTTTTTGGTTAACCGAAATCGGCCCAGTAAACAACTTGTAACGATTTGGCCGCCTCTTAATTTCGGCCGCCTGCGTGCGGTGCACGCAATGAACGCCCGTCAGGCACGGCCCTGGGCTGAAATGATGATGATAGCGTTATAAAAAAATAATTTATTTTAGTTGTTTTGTTTATGACATTATTAGTGTAAAAAATAAATAATAGTATAAATAAATAATAGTATACAGTGCATTGACTAATTAATCAATTTTTGTTATTACTAATTATATATTAGGTAGGTATCTGTACTTAATTAAGTAAATACAATATGCAGGTAAGACAAATATTAGGTATATATACAATACACGTACAGGTAACTGAGAACTGTAAATTCATATAGTGAAGTGTATACGTACAATACTTACTCAATAAAATTCACCTTAAGTAAACATAATTACTAATATTACAAATGTAAAAGTAACTTTGTTTGTTTGTTACCTTGTAGCGCCTTAACGGCTCAACCAAACACTATGAAATTTGATATACACGTACTGTATGGGATATAGATTCTTTGCTTATAAGTAGAAATAACTACCTTATCTTCTCAACTGTGTCGCGCAATGTGCAAAAAAAATGCGCATCTGTGTCGCGTCCGCTTAGCGGACATATAGATAATAATGTCATATATAATGTTTTGTCTAAACTAGCTTGACGATAAGCTTAAATTATTGTAAACAAACCACCTCTTGTTCCTAACGCCAAGAATGTACGTAAAATAATGAAATAGGAAACCCACTTAAGTGTTAGTTGAAGAAGGACTTTTTTTGGTCCATGTTTATAAACAAGTGCTGTATAAAAAAATGTATTGAAACATAAGCCATTTTAATTTTTATTAAATGTATAATATTGTACAAAAAATATATAATTTTACATCCAGCAAGGTCTTAATTTTTTAATAATTGAAAAAAAAAATTTGTGTGTTTACAAATCTTGTTTATTGTGTATTTGCAGGTTACTGAAGCACATATATCCACTAAATATAATAAAACCGAAGACATTAATGTCACATCATTAGTAACTCAAGAATTTGGATGTATTAAGCCTACAAACTCCAGCAATATGCCACAATTAGGTTCTCATACAAAAATAAACCTAACTATAGCAATCAATGCTTCTCCTAATATAATTTCTAATAATGCCGTTCAAGATTGTGTAGACAATGCCGTAATTATAACAGATGAAAATGCCGAAACCGTCAAGAAAAACGAAATAAAAGCTAATGATACAGTATTAAAATATGTTTACAAAAAGAATGATCATATAAGTTTACTAGAAAAAACACAAGGACATCCTAAAAATAGTCTTAAAAGAAGAAAACGATCATATAATATTCATAATTCTACAGAAGATATAAAAGCACATGAAAGCCAAAATGCTCCTCTGATAGTTAATTACGAAACTTCTCACGACACTCAAAATATTTATACAGCAGAACCTTTAGAAAATCCCCAAACAGGTAATGTCATAAAAAGTTCCAACTTAGCAGATTTTAATATAGAAACTTTACATGAAAATGTAGCCACACCATTAATAAATAGCGACATTCATAGTAAAAATCCTGAAAGTGAGTTGATAAAAAATAATAATATACCTTTGAAACAAAAAAATAATGACGAATCAGTTGAAAATAATAGTAACGATAATAAAGAAGAATTAGATGAAAGTAATGAAAGCAGTGAAACAGATAGGTACATAAGTTTAGATGGTAGTCCTCGTTCTAACAAGGCATTCAAAATCAACAAGAAAAGCCCAGAAAGTGAAGAAGAAGAAGATTATAAAAACCGCAGGTATAGAAAAAAAGATACTTCTGAAGAAGAAAGTAAACCATATATAGAAGAAAACGAGAGCAATGAGAAACAATATTACAAAGAAAGTAGTGATAAAAATGATAACCGAGATCAGACAAGTTATGAGAGTGATGAAAATATTACTTCTCAAAATAATCAGTCAACAGAATCTCAAGAAAGCAATGAAACTGAGGAAAAAAGTAATCCTAACATTAATACTAAATCACGTTTGAAAAATGAAAGCGATGAAAATGCTTCATATAAATCATACGAAAAAGAAAGCAATGAAAGAAAAGACACGGATTATTTAAAAAAAGATAATGATAGACCGTCACATAGAAATAAAGAAAATATTAAAGACTTTGAAAATAGTTCAGAAAAAAATGTGAACATAAATAGGTATACTGACGAAACATCTGTAGAAAACAGCGACGAAAGTAATGAAAGTAAACAAAAATTTAAAGAGCCGTTAAGAAATTACGAAAGTGAAAATAAAAGCATACCGCCAATTATTCAAGATGTTGATTTAGGTGATTTTAGCTATGAAAGAATTCAACTAAACGATAAAGGTCAAGTTGAACTAAGCAAAGACAATGCTGGACATAGTGATGACAATAATATTTCCAAAGAACTTACATACCCAAGTACTTCTAAATCAGAGAAAAAGAATAATGAAAAATATTCATTATCTAAAGATAAAGGAACTAGCAGTGAAAGTACTGAAGATAAGCAACCAATACATATAAATGACGGCGAAATTAAACCTGTTGTAGAAATTACTGGAGAAAATAATAGCGAGTCCAGCGAAAATATCAAAGAGTCGGAAGACAAAAGTCTAGAAACATTTTTAGGTATTAAAAAAAATATCGACAACAGTCAAAAAGAAAAAATAGTTGTAAATAATGAAAAAGAAATAGAAAATGGTGACGTTAAACAACAATTTGAACGAATTCCATTAAATTACAAACATGATGAAAAGAATATACCAGAAAATAACAATAATGAAGAAATTATACAAAACGAAGGTACATTAGATACTTTATCACCTACAGATCCACAATATGACAAACACTTAAAATTTAAATTCGACGACATAACAATAAAATTACCGGAAATAAAATTACCTGAAGATATTTTAGACTATGCTTATGATAATTCTCCATATGACAAAGGTCTAAAAACTACAAAAAAGAATAAAAAGAGTAATAAGAATACTAAACCAAGGTTTTATAATTATGATGACGATTATAATAAAGATGAAAGTGAAAGTCAAAAACATAGAAAACAAGACGAAGATGATTATGGATATTACGGGTATTACGATAACCCTAAGGAAAAAGACAATTATAAAAATGAAAAAGATCAACAAGAAGATGAAAATGATGATTATGTAGATCTATATGAAAAATTTGTTCGAGAACGATTCGGAAAAAAAGGATCTTTTGAACAACGCTCTGAAAAATTAAGAGATGCAACACAAATACCGGAAAATAACAAATTGTACCAAACAATACATGAGGTCCTTAAGAAAACACAAGACGTTCAAAAACAGGCTGAACAAAGTGGAGATCCAAATGCTGGATATATGTGGACCCTTGAATATGGACAAAATTTATAAAAATAATATAGCCAAAGTGGTAAACATTAATAATTAAGTAGATATAGGCAATATGTCACTAGATATTTAAATTATAAAAATGTTTAAAGGCCATACAGTATTTTGGAAAGTACTCAACAATCTGTAAAATAATTAAGTATAAGTATTAAGATTATGGAACTAGTCGCAAACAGCTGAGCTTAAAATACATGTTTTACAAGGTAATGACTACTCATTATCTTTGGTTTAATTAATATCATGGACTTGGGACTATCTATTATAAAGCTAAACACCTACTTATTGAAATTAATACGTATTATAAAACTATACCTAGCTATTATTTTATAATGTAGAAGGTAGAAGCACTTTATTTTTTATTTTTTAAATATCTTTTTAAAATTTGGCAATGAGTTAGTGTTGCCCAATATGCCACTTACGATAATTCTATATACGATATTGACATCGTAATAAAGTTAGATACTTAATTTTATATTATATAATGTAGATTATATATATTGGTTGTGTACAACTAAGTTGATTTAATTAAGTAGGCTGTATAATTATTTATTAATATATCATTATTAAAGAAGTTTGTATTTCAATTGTAATCTCTTTTTGATATTAATGTCTCTGAACGATAAATCAAAAAGTAGATGCAACCCCGTACAATATAACTTCTCCCTATCCTTCTTCTTTCCTGACCTTATCGTTTCATCTAGGATCTGCTGTAGGAATTGTGGAAGTAGAAAAATGTCGCCCGAAAAAGCTTCAAATTAGGATGGCAGTACTATAGCAGATGAGTATTTTTCAAGAAAGTAAACAAGGTAAGAAAGATAAAACTTCTGCTTTACAATGGAGCACTTTTCAAAAGAAAAACTTAAAATAAATAATGATATATACTTCATTATTTATTTATTTTAAGTAATTTGTATAATTTATATTTTATTAAATATCGTTGTTAAATTTTTAATTATGCTTATTTAATATAACGCAAAAAATAAAAATATGAATTTTTTCAACTCTGCACACTATTAATTTTGTTTTTAAATTAAAAAAAATGGCCGCCATTTTCATTAATACATATATATTAATTTGTAAGCAATAGGTACATATAAATATTTATATTAGGTATATCAGATAAAATATTTCCTAATTCAAAGTAAAAAAATTACCCTCTAATTATTTACTCAGTACGTTTTATCAATTTCTGACAATGACATCACAGTGACTTATACCTATCCTATCCATGTGACAGTAACAATTTTTGTAATGCCTACTTACTCTGTGTTCGATCCTAAGAACAAGAATTATATAGAAGGAATGATAAAATGTGGACGAAAGTAACACCATCATTTACTATTTTACTCAATTCATAGGAAATTAGTGTATAGAAAATGTTTGATATGTCAATTATTTGTCAATGACATATTTTACATTACTTAATTATATATTTGATATAGTTTATGTAGAAAGTATGCAAGCAAGTTGTATTTGAATTTAATAGGGTTATACGGCCGTATAACGTTTTCTATACAATAGCCTGCTATGAATTGACAAAAAAAGCAACTTAGCAACAAAGATGGATCTTTTATCCTCCTTTTACTAATTATATTTCCATAAGAAGAAAGGAGGCAATCATATGATTTACAATTTTTACTTCATTATTCCTTCTATGTAATTCTTTGTTCTTAGGTTCGATCTGTCTATGATTCTACTCTGGTTTCCCTTCAAAACGCGTATCTATGATTATTTCCAAGAATTAAACTATATCTTAACCTGCAAATTTTATAATACCTTAAATATACTATAAGTACTACTGCATAATTATTAATATTATATGAATATAAAGTAATTCGCAACGAAAAAATACTATATTAAAGTATTATTGAACGTATTTTAACTATATCATCAACCAGATTGTTATTGAACAATGGCCGAAGAAATCCAAAAAAAGTTACAAAAGGAGTTAGAAGTTTTAAGTGGAGTGCAAAAAGAATATCATAAGGCTGTAGCCCAGAAACAACAGTTAGATAGTCAATTGAATGAAAATAAAGCGGTAAAAGAAGAATTAATGTTACTAAAAAAAGACGCTGAAGTGTTTAAACTCATTGGTCCTGTATTAGTAAAACAAGATTTAGAAGATGCCAGGCAAAATGTTGCTAAGCGCATGGAATATATAAGCAAGGAAATTAAAAGAACAGATAATCACATTGCAGGACTAGAAAATAAACAGGAATCATTGCAGGAAAACCTTAATAAATTAAGAAATGATCTTGGAAAGCTTAAAATTAAAGCTTAATATCAAATTTTTAACATGTTTAATATAATGATTGCAGCCCTATATTACTTATATCTGTTTCGTATTTAATGTAACTAATATAAAGTTAATATTACTTATTAACAAAATTAAATGTAGTTGTTATTCAAAGGCACCTGAAATGAAACAGTTGTTAGATATATTTATTTTATAACACTAATGGATAATTGACTAGGTAAGCCATGCCCATCCCAGGTTGCTCCCAGTCTTCAACTACATGCAGACATCCCTGATTACATATGCACCTTTATTTAAAAGACCAGGCCCTACTCCAGAAAATGATCTTCAATATGCTAATGAGTAATATTGTGACCATTTTAAAATTCCTTTTGGTGGGGAAATGGCAAAATCTTATCACCAAATTTGATATTGACTACCCCACTTCTATTGCCTAACATTTGTACTTACATGGCTACATGTTCTGCATAGCCATACTAATATTATAAATGTGAAAGTAAATTTGTTTGTTACCTTATAATGCATTAACCAATGATTATGAAACTTAGCATTAATATACCATGTGGGATGGAGAAAGGTATAGGCTACATTTTACCTCGGTCACATGGATGCAATCACAGTTAAAAGCTAGTAGTATACAAAGTGTGAAATATGGAAGTGAAATTACTGGACACAAGTGTAAAATAGCTCATTAGTAAAAACTCTAAGATCACAGCATATTCTTGAATGCCCATGGTCCTAGTTTATAGAGAATATTTATTCAACCAATTAACTATTATCCAACCAATGGAACTTAAATTTATTTACTATTTCAAGTTGTACAATAAATCTATTTAAATAAAACAATGTTTATCATTGTAAAATAATGTATATTCGTAATTACAAAAAATATCTGCAATATTTTAGTAATTTACATGATAATGGCACATTTAGGAAAATTTATACCAATATCACATATTTATATCACACCAAACAAGCTATCCAGCAAGTTCTGATAAACATTTTAATACCAATACTTTAAACACATTTTGTACTTATTTAATTTAGAATAACAAATACTAATGAACAATGATAAAAATATTTTGTGACACTTGATTATATTGCATAATTAGAGCTTGTAATGCAAAAAATATCTACATTACCAAGGATGTACTTATCATAGGATGTTTGCATAATTATAATATTAAACATTAAATATAATAATTAAGTATACAAACTATAGAAAAAATATGTGTTAAAATTATGCACAAATATAAGTATATATAGTACATTGTACATGCACTTAAAACCTTGATATAATGGATATTACTTCACTGTGGTCCAAAGATACCAAGACTGCATCCCATATTCTTTGTACTGCTAATATTTTTCTAATTCATGTTTGGATGATAAATGACTGTCAATTGCTACGTTAAAGGATACCTAAAACTGGTCCAGTATGTCACATCAGACATGTATAATAAAGACGATCTGTAAATGCTTCAAACTTATACATATGTGTGCATAATTTCACTATAAATTTAAAGTTCCATATGCCATTAGCACCGGTATTAATATATTAGAATTTGAATAATGGAATGTTCATTAATAGAGCATAAATTCTCTATTATGAGTTTAATATCCTAATGTAGGAGTATTAGAAATAGCCATTAAATTAAAATACACTAAATGCATATAAAAATTATCCTTAAATCACTTATGTTTATTATATCAGTATATCATGGTCCCTTTAAGAAATATGCAAAACTTACATTTTGATAATATTACTATAATACCTATAAATTTTTCTTATAATTAAATTTAAATAACAATATGACATGTCTAGTTTCATCTTTTATATTTTTAAAATATGACAATCATATTCTAACAATTATTGAAACTCTTTCATTTACATTTTAAAAATATTTATATGTTAAATAAAATGAATATTGGACAAAGCCTTTCATAACTATGAAATAAATATTTATATCTGTTTCTATCCTATCCTAAATACATTTGCATTACAAAATACTTCATACTACATACCTCATAATATAAAATTATATCTAGTATAATAAATATAAGTATTATACTAGTGTATCTAATCAATATAATTATAAATGTATAAATATATGAAAAAATGTAAATATGTACCTGTTATAACAATTTCAATGTTTAACTTATAATTAAAGGATTTCATTTCTTTTCAACTGTTATTCTGCTCTGTACACATGGTACACTACAGAACGGCATTTCTTGCTTCACAACAAATCTGCCGCTTAAAAGACTTTTACCACACATTCGGCCTGAACAGATAAAACAGTCAGCATGCCAATGCATATTACTCCAAGATACTCCTTGCTGTTCAGGGCCAATGACACCGCCGCAGGCACGACAACGCTCTGCATGAAACTGATCATAACAAGAAAGACATATAGGTAAGCCAGTCTTATCGTCTGGCACATATTTTTGGCCTCCAAGTGGTGCATCACAGTGATAACAGCAAAAATGTTGCACATGAAAAGCTCGCCCTTCTGCTGCTGTATAAGGTCTTGTAAATATCAATTCATCGCAACCAGCACAACGTGGTATCTGCAAAACATTGGCCAAGTCTCTAGCACAATATATTTCCCGTTCATAAAAGAAATATACAAGATCCGCAAGCAATTCTCCACATTTGCTGCAAGTGAAGCACTGTGGGTGCCAAATAGCTTCTTGTCCTGCTCTTTCAGCTTTAACTGCTACTTCACCAGCAAACATAGGCTTTTTACAGCGTTGGCATGGCACTCCTTCATTGTAAAGTTTCCTGTTAAATTCCATTTCATCTGGACTTAAGGACATATCAGTTAATTGATCAATTAGAGGATTTACTTGCTCCACATAGCTATTACCCTGTGGCGTATCTAAATATGCACTATCAAAAATTTGAATATTGTCAATCGGATTATTACTCCAATCTTTGTCAGTACTATCCAAAGGCAATGTTCCAGGGTATGTATTATAATTAGGTAATGGTGGAGGTGGTAGATCTTCATCAGAATGGCTTCTCAAATATTCCCGTAAAGGAGCAGTTTGTTGTGGTTCAACCTGATTTATCAGTTTAGTGGTAGTAGAATATTGTGGATTAATTTTTGTTGAACAAATGGTTCCGCTGTGTTCAGGAGTAGTTGGCTCATGCTTCCAACTCCAAATCTCTCCATTGGGTGCAAATATTGTTCCTTTCTGGATCCTGCCCTCTAGTAATTTTGCAGTTCCCATAACATTGTTATTAGTGGTTGACCATAAATCAGGCATAATCTGAACTCCAAGGGAATTGCTAGCAAACTCATTTGTCTCTTCTCGAAATTGGGGATTTTTATTGTATTCGTCACGGAAAAGTTTAATAGGTTGCAAGTACACATCATCTGTAACAGGCATATTCAAATCATTCAAGTTCTTCAACAGTTTATCATAGACTGGTCCATGTTCAACGGCACTCTTGATTCTGTCAGATTCAATACGCATTACATGAAGTTTATCCTTCACAGTACGACTTAGGATAGGACTAGACTTATAGTCTGGCAAGTTTGCAGCGCTGCTTACAATATTACCTTCAGAATCCAGTACCAATTTTTTGTCAGAAGCATTCTTAGGCACTATGTTATATTTTACACCTCTTGACACATTCGAAATTTTCAATGGTAATGCATATGATTTAGTTGTCGCATGAGTTTTGCTATTTTCTACAGAATAAATTTCACCGCTTTGAAGTGGGCCGACTCTTACTACATTACCCATTCCAACAACATGATCTTTGATACGCGTGATATATTCCTGAAAAAAAAAAATACATTTCAATCTGTGCTCAAGATATCAAATAAACACACGCAGCACCATCTCATGAGACTAGACTAGATTGATGGTCATCGCCGTGATGGTCGGTCGCCGTGAGGTCCCGGCATAGAATGGGATACCACTTCCTTTCCCATGGGTGTCATAAGAGGCGACTAAGGGAACTTAATGGTCGAGGGATGAGCAGCAGCATCCCTCTCAAAATATTACCAAAGTCTAACTGCGATTGCCAACCCGTCCACCACAGCAACTACTGGAAAAGCCGTCCATAAGGAGACGCCTATGTTCAGAAGTGGACAGTTAACGGCTGATATGTTGATAATAATGATGGGTTATTTTAAGTATATAATTTATAAGTATATAAACATATAATAAAAGCTCAGACCATCATAATAAATACTTAATACAGGTTCAGTCACTATGCAATACAAACATCAAATCATCAGAAAAGTAGTGAAAAGTATTAAACTCCTATATCACAAAGACAAGAAATTACAAAATAAAAAGACGTCATTAGAAATATATTTATAAAATATTACATTGTATAAATAATTCTTTAATTATTAACATTACGTAAACAATTATTCTTATGGTTTTACACAGATAATAAATAGGTTAAATAATAACCATCGTGAGTCATACTGTAAAGTAATTAATTATTCCCAAACTTAAAACATGCGTAAAGTCAACATAAATAATATCAATAAAGATTAAACTGTTCATTTTGTAATAACTCGTCAACAGATAGTGCTGCAGTTAATTTCAATATCGTTCAATTGTCCAAGAAATTTATATACAAAGGTATTTGAAAATTCAAAATATCTTTTATCTTCGTACTGTATTCATTTATATACTCACAGGTAAATAAATACACACAACAGTTTTCACTAATGAACCATAGAGTTGATATTAAAATAGGTAGGGATACGTACAGTGTGCTCGGACTTCTCCTGGTCGGAGGCGTGGTGCCGCGCGGCGGGCGCCACGTCGTGCGGCGGCAGCTGCGTGCGGAGCTGGGCGCGTCGCCGTCGCGCTGCCGCCGATCCCGACACCGGCGCCAATGCGCCCAGGCACGACATGTACTCCGACACCTATACATATCGCCACCACATCATCATACTACACATACAAATTTACTTTTAAGCAACGGTTGAAGTAGGCAATTCAATTCAAGAGGTTTTTTGTGTAGGTACATATGTTAGTAACATTTTTGTCAATAGTTTAACGTAGTAACTACCAGTTTAATTGATGTGTAATAATAAGATTGAAAAATAATAATAATATAATATTTATTTCTATCCCAATTTCATTTCATTCCCAAAATAGAATATATATAGACTGCCATTGGAAGTGGACAGAATCCGTACTAAGATACCCTGTGTTACGGTATTCTGGCCCCCACACTCGGCCGCTGGCTATACAAAAAGCAGGCAAATAAACCATAATATAAAAAGCTTGACTAGTATTGAAATCAATTCGTGATCCTGAATAATAAGTGGCTGTGACGCGAACACGAGTCAAAATATGTACTTACGAACTTCTAACAATAAAATTTTTATGATTATTTTCAAACTGAATTTGATAATTCTTTTGAACATCGTTAAGATCATTTCCATTGATGTACCACATCAATTTTGTCACGATCGAATTTTGACAAAATTTCAGGATAACAAGATATAAAAAATATGGTAATAAATTTTGAGTTTGCCACATTAACTGGACTGTTATACATGCCATATTCATATGGTAGACTAAAATAGGCAAAAAAAACATGTTTTGATCACTTTAATTCATGCTTATAAAGAATGCTAATAATTGCAATTTATCCTATATATATCAGATATAAATCTGATATTAAAATTTCCATACAATAAATATAAATGTAATTAAGTAACAAACACTGATATACGACAGATTTAACCTCCAGTATATAGATAAGATAACCACCTAATCAATCAACAAAAACACTATAGTCTGATAAACACAATTTAGATAATCCAAAGAACATACTTGAGTTGAGGTATGACTATTTTGATGATTTAGTAAATAATACCTCTCCAAAGATAATGAAATTTTACTTTATATAATTAATAAGCACTAAAAGAATGACTATAATTACTGTATCTAATAGAATATCAAACAAATTTTTTTTTAAGGGAGTTACCAAAGGAAGTGACTATTATGTTTCTTGCAGGTTGTCAAAGTGATTATTAGATAATCACTTTGACAACAAAAATTAGCACCCAACAAAAAAAAGTTACTTCAATTGTGATAAAACTATTTTTTTTTTAATTCAAAAACTATACTCTGACTGATCTGCTTTCATCCTTACCTATCATCTTTCACTGGTGCTCCACGAGTGTATATTGATAACACAAGCAGGGTTAACATTCCATTCTCATCTATTTAAAAAAAGCACAATGACAATAAACAAAATATGTCTCATTAATTTTAATTTTGTTGAACTATAGTTTCAATAATTGCTGAACAGGTTTTCAGCAAACTTTTATAGATTTTATAAACAACTATTAAAATAGATGTTAAATTTTTATGATTGTGCTTGTTATCTTCACCTCAATGTTTATGACAAATTCCATATTTTCCTGTTAATATGTGAATATTTTACTAACAGTAGTGATAATAAGGAAATGATTACCAATTCTGTTGATGCATTTGGTGGAACCCAGTCCAATTTAACTGGCTTATCAGTGACACCCCGGATTTTGATAAGTGGCACTACAAAACAGAAACACACTTTAGTTACAAATAGACACACCATACATTTATCAGCAAAAATATTATGCTTTTATAATCTTTAATTTTATGAACTAGAAAGACAAACATAGATTGAATTTTTAAGTGTCTACAGATATGTATTAGATGTGATTTAGAAATAAAAAAAAAGTAACAATTTGTCTTTTTATATCATGTCATACAAAACATCTGGACCTTAGACAAGTGGTAAAAGAACCTATTAATTGAATTATCATTATTATTTAATTTATTTCAATAATAATGACAATTATTTGTCATTATTAGCAAATGAGCTGATGGCCCATATGGTGGGAAATGGTAACCACACATGAACATCACAAAATAAGCTGTGATGCCTTTGGTACCTCTCATGTGTTACCAATACTGAGAACTGTTGTGTTCTACTTAATACCTATTCAATTATGTCATAAAGAAGACTCAAAAATGTATAGAAAAAAGCATAATCAATGTACACAAATAAAAAAGATATTCTAATATAATAAATTGCCCATGACATATAAAATATTTTTGCACCAATAATAATATTAATTGTATATTTTCACATTTCAAATTCATACTTTTCTTTTTCTTTTTAATAAATCGGAAAACAAAAAAAATTAGTTAAGATTAGACAGAAAAACTTAATCAACATAATAAAAATATAATTGCACTTACATGATGCCTTTTTAGGTCTAGCAGTACCAAGGAGCTCAAATTGAGCCCAACCTGATAAATCATCATCCTGTACATCATGTACATCCTTGCTGCAGTGACATGCACGGCACACTTTTCTCCAGAAATGCAAATCTAAACCAGGACAGGTAGGGCCTAGAACAAAGTAGATAACATAAATATTCTGAAGACATTTACGATTTTGCATTGCATTTTATTTAATATATTCAGGCATAAATACCACAAGAGTTACAAGGCGCGCCGGCACCGCTATCGTGTCCGAGTCGTGCTTTGCTCAATTTTTCGCGTTGACTCTCAAGTTTTGACAACCATGCTGGTGCCTCTGGAGTCTCCACGCATGACTCACCAATCTAAAATTATTTTTATTAAGTATTATGTTCCAAATTGCGAAAGACGGATAAATAATTAAAATATGATGAGTAAAGATCTGATACTTACTTTTTTAGACATTTTAACAAAATTATTAAATGAAGCTACGATTTTGAATTTGAAAAATCCAATTGGTCTCTAAACAATGATAATCATAATTATAAAAAATAATAAACAAAAGACACCGAAATAAATACTACTGAATTATAGCTAATCTTATTTAAAGAAAAATAATCCTTGGAAAATGAATAAAATAAAAATAGATTATTGGAAAAATAAAAAAAATAAGGAAAAAAATGCAAAACTAAGTAGGTACAATTAAGCACAGAGTAAGTAGGTATATCTTACCTAGGTACGAAAATTAGATACGTTAGGTATGTATTAGCAGGTCCGCATCACTTTGAATAAAAAAACGCTTGTAAGGATTCTATGCAATCAATTCGTTTTATTTTAAAATTTTACGTAAAATCCATTTAAAATATCGACATCAATATAGATAGATAAGTATATTGATGTCAATATTTTAAATTAAGGCAAACTATAAACATACTACATATACAATATTGCAAATAATATTTCTTTATTTTATTGTGTCATCATCATTATCTTCCTAACCTTATCTCAATTATTATTTGAAGTCGGCATAATATGTTTATATCCATATTACAAAAAGATTTAGCTTGTAGTTTTACGACCAGCCGCCTGCCTAATGTCACCTCTTTTGATAATTATTTATTTTATTATGTCGTTACTTCTAAAAACTAGCATAGAATAATTTTCATTTCATTGATTAAATGAATCGATTGATAAAATAGGAGTAGTGCCGACTACAAGAAATATATTGATCTATAACTACTCTGTAAGTTGGCCTCTGAATTTGACAGTTTTGGCATTTGCGTTTACTATTTGACTGACATGGATATGAATAAATTGATTGCCAGCACAGTCTATGGTCATCTTGTTAAGCTTTCTGTTCGGTTCAAGGATATTTTGTTTTTGTTCTTAGCACGAATTTTACAATAACAACAATAATAAATTTTATCTATGGAATGGCAGTCTATGGACGTCATCCATCTTTCAAAGCGTTTTCAATTGACTTCATTTTTATTTGAAAAATTCATTTTTTATTCAATATAATTCGATATTTATTAATATTCTTTTTATTTTTATCAATAAATTAGTGTACATAGTATCAAATAAACAAAAATAGGTGGAAAAAAGGTAAATTTGCACTTTGTTATTACCATACGTTCAGGTTTTGTGACTCATGGGTCGTGTTGAATAAAAATTTATTTTTTAGATGTCTTCAGGGAGACCTATCAAGTGTGTTGTGGTCGGCGATGGTACTGTGGGAAAAACGTGTATGTTAATTTCATATACAACAGATAGCTTTCCAGGCGAATATGTGCCCACAGTGTAAGTTAAAACACGCTTTATATACTTATATTTGACTATACATATTAATACGTTGTATTATTAGAACGGAATTTCCTTTAACTAGATTAATATTATTTATTCTTTATTGTTCTAAAAAAATTACAAACATATATATTAAATAAAAATGTACAACAGGCGAGCTTAACTCTGTAAGGGTTCTCTTCCAGCAAACACTTATTATTAAAATGTGATGGACATATATCAAATATCGTCAATTTAAATATTTTTATAATGCCTCAAATCTTACAGATTTGATAATTATTCTGCTCCTATGGTGGTGGATGGCGTAGCAGTATCTTTAGGTTTATGGGATACTGCAGGTCAGGAAGATTATGATAGACTAAGACCTCTAAGTTACCCACAAACTGATGTCTTCCTTATATGTTTTAGTGTTACAAGGTATGTTTTTCTACATTCTTTATTCTACCTAGAACTTTATAAAACCATTATAACATATGGCAAGAAACTTGTTTTATGCACAAGACTAATGAAATATGTAAAAAAGAAGTTGTACACAGTCATTGATCTACAGCTCAATTGATTAAAAAAATAAACATATTTGTCTTGCCACTAAAATAACCTCTGTAACATTGTACGTAATAAAATATTTAAATATAAAATAACATTATTGTTCTCCTGTAAAACTCCACATCCATCAGGTTATGGGCCCAGCACGCTTCCACTGCTACTTAAATCATAAAAATCTTAATTCACCATTCTATGAAATTCAAACTGGGTTATTTTTTAGAAGACAAACTAATACTTAATAAAAAAGATCAATTATTACTTGTATCACATAATTTATAAACTAAAATTTTCAGTCCTTCATCCTATGAGAATGTGACTTCCAAATGGTATCCTGAAATAAAACATCACTGCCCTGATGCACCTATTATTCTAGTTGGTAAGTATCTGTTTATCTAATCAACGTACTACTGGGCATAGGCCTCCTTTTAATTTCATCATCATATCAATTTTAATTGAAGTTCCTTTAAATTACATATATTTTTATGTAATTTAATATAATGTCTGGATTTCTCTTTTTAGGACCTTATAAATGTGGGACCAACACACTCTTTGTTAATATTTTTATTACATATTCTTTTTACAAACTTGTTGTATTTCATTGTATGTAAATTTTATGGTTGAGGTATGAGCATTAGCATCCTTCTTAAAATATCACCAAAGCCTGACTGCAGTGTCCAATCCATCTGCTAAGTATGACAAAGTCCCCTAAGAGGGAAGCCAAAATTGTATTCTGAATAGAATTATTTTTATTTTAAAATGAATGTTATGATTTATTTTTATATGAATATTTGTTAAAACATAATAATATTTTTTTAGGAACAAAAATTGACTTGAGAGATGATAGAGAAACATTAAGTTTGCTCTCGGAACAAGGCATGTCACCTTTAAAAAGGGAACAAGGGCAGAAGCTGGCAAACAAAATTAGAGCGGTCAAATACATGGAATGCTCTGCCTTAACACAACGTGGACTCAAACAAGTAATTACTTATACTATTTTCAGCATACTCTAACTTTCATACAATATGATTGTGATGATAAAGAAATTCTTTGTGAAACATGTTCTCATTCTTCCACATTATCTATTTATTTATCTTCTATATACAAATATATAGATAATGTGGAAGAGTAAATAAGGATACAACATTACTCATTTCACAAAACATAATTCAGACATATTTGAAACAAATGGGTCTTGACTATCTTATCACCTATTCAGCCTACCAGTAAATATTAATTTATTCTAATATTATAAAGCGGAAAGTTTTCAGTGTATATTTGTTTGTTTGTAATGGATAAACTCAAGTCTATACTTCATTGTCACTCAAGTGACATATGCTATAATTCATTTTCAAAAATTCTATCTACCCATGCGAAACTGAGCTGGCTCCCTAGTTTTATTATATAGATACATTCCACACTAAAAGTATATAACTGTTAATCTATTATATGTCTATAATACTAAATTATTCTTTATTTATAACCTTTAATGTATAGATGTAATAATTGAAAGAGATGAGTTACTGACCTTTTGTTGGTAAGTAATGTCTTTCAAATAAGTACAACAAATTAAAAACATTGGAAACTTACAATATATAGTTCAGATTATCTCATTATTTATTGCAGGTATTTGATGAAGCAGTGCGTGCAGTATTAAGACCAGAACCTCAGAAGAGGCATCAGAGGAAGTGTTTGATTATGTAAATATAACTTAATGACATAATTAACAATAATGACACTCATGCAGGAATCTCATACAAACAGTAATAATGTGTTTCTATACCAAAATTCTGCTCAGTTTACACATAGAAATAAAATAGAAAAAGCTCATACAAATGTAGACCCACATGTGCCATAAACTTCATTATTACTGCATAGTGCTATTAATACAGATGTCAAAAATGAACATGGTGATATATTCTAGTAATATTACTTTGTGATTATGTATTAAAAGGAAATGCCAAAGATTATGAGTAGATTTAAGTCGCAGTATGTTATAGTTTGTTTTTTAAACCTTATTGATGGTTAGAAACAAATTGTTACTGTTAAGAATTGGTGAAATTACTAATAACATTATTTTTATACACGCAACTGAACCTCGAATATTTTGAATTCTGAGATATTATATTCTTATGCGACTTGTGAATAAGGACTGACTGTAGATGCTAGTGTGTACTATTAACATACTCAAATTTATTATATAATTAGTTGCGAGTGAGTGGTAAGGCATTTATCATGATTATTCAGGAGCAAAATCTTTGTTATTGCATTTTATTTAGATGTATAGGATGTGCTGATTAAAAGTAGAATACTTGCTAAATAATATTTTTGTAAATTTAGCTATTGAAACAATTTCTAAATGGCAATAATACTTGGTAATATTTCATACAAATTTTGTATAAGTGTAGACCAATGGAATGTGTATAGATATTTCTGCACCTATCCAAAGCAGTCATAAAATATAATGAAGGTTCAAATATATCCACATAACTTGGTCTACCGGTCGAATTATGGCAGCTGAATTGTATGCTTCAGTGATGATCATTTATTATTCTAGTTTGATTATTTAATTTTGTTGTATTACTAATATTACTGATTTATTGTATGTATGAATTTATTTAATTTTGTATAGATATGTGGAATTAAGATGTAAAGTGTGTTTATAATGATTCATTAGGGTGAACTATTTTTGTATGTGGAAATCCCTAGGCTAAGAATATTAACACATTTACCGTGTGATAATAGTAATTTAAACTGTTCGACAATATGGTACTTCTGTATTGTTTAGATAATAGATTAATCTCATTCTTTAAAAATTTACACATTAGTCATTATTGGTGATTAATATATAAAATTATTTGAGAATAGATAACTTGCCTTTAATATACAAATTTTAATGAGTGTCAAGAGTTTGATATGACTGATTGTTTACCTTATTTGAAATACAGTAGTAATTACAAATTACTATTTGGCATTGGATAATTGCTACAGCTACAAATTGAATAGATAATAAGGTTTGTTATGACTTCATCCTGACGTAATCACTTACCTGTAGACATGGTTACATAAATTATTTTAAAAGATTATGGATTATTTATAATAATAATAATTCAACAAACATTGTTACCCTTACAAAAGAGAATTCAAACAAAGTAACAGCATACTCATTATATATCAGGAGACAAAATATGTCAAGACTTTGAAGACATTTTAATACATCCTTTTATAATTTTGGATCGACTTGTACAACAAACACCACTTATAAACATTCATTCTTTATTTTATCAAAATGTAGGAACGTCACAATTATTTGTCAGTTTTCAAAAATTAATTGTTTTCAAATTTATTGATTGATTATTTAAAAAGTTCTAAAATGTTAATCATAGAATACATTGCATATAAATCATCTATCAATATAAATGTTATATCTATTTTATATTTTTCTTCGAAATTTTCCAAATATTTTCAAATATTTTTTTACTATCAAAATCTAAGTTTTCAGCAACAGCTGAATTAACCTTTTAATTTCCTAGCAGAATACTTTAAATAATCAATTGTCAAATTGTTTTTGGAAATTGATCAATAATTGCGACATTGCTACACTTTGGTAAACAAATATAAATTATCTTACTGCAACTAAATTAACTAGCTATTGTCTATCATTGTATTTAATTCATTTACAAAATGTAATAAATATAAAGTCTATAAATTTAATCCAACTTCTCCCGATTGCAATTCATTTTGTAATATATAATCATTTGCATGAATAAATAATTAATGATTGTCCAACAAAAAGAAACTGACATCAATTGTGACAAAAGCAGTTTTGTGTTTTTTATTTTATAAAAGATATGGGTACACGCGATAGTTACGATTCAAAGTTATCACAATTGATAGAGGATTTATTAACCAAATTATTTACTGTAAAATGAGAATGATAATATTTTATCTTACTTTTTGATCGATATGATATAGGACTTATAAATAACAAAATATTACTATAAAGACAGCTAAGATGTCAGCAAGTTATTACCATTACATACTAATTGTATACAAACAAGCAAAACAGATGTACAATATTGTGTAAGAGTTTGTAATCTTTTCTTACAGTATCGTAAATTACACGTAATGTTACTGAATCTATGTAATATGCCCGCCTATGTGATTGTTAGAGCCACCTTCATACTGTATCCTACTACATTCATTCAAAATACAATATAGCTTTTTGTTTTCAATATCATTGTAATTTAAAAACCAAAGTTGACTGATGTATCTACATAAGTAATTTATTAATACATTTCAATGAATTTGACGTGGTTCAGTAATGGGTGCATTGCTTTGTGTAAATAAGGTCCCGGTTTGATTCCCGGCCGGGACAAATTAGGCAATGATTTTTTTCTAGATTGACTTAGATCTGGGTGTTCTAGGTTGTGAGCCCTGATGTTTGTTGCCTGGTTCCTTATACACGTATATGAGACATTTTAGCTCGAACTCCAGATGATTGATGTGATTATGAAAAAAAAAAGCATTTTGATATAACTATGTATAATATTATTTATTTATCTACAACATAGAAAATAATTTTAAATAAAACAAATTAGAATATGTAGTTGACTCTAACAATTATGCATGCAGTGCAATAATAAAAAAATTATGTACAATTCCAGTATACTGTGAGTGGCATTACCGATGCTCTGCAGACCTCACGGTGAACCTCAAACATTTTGAGGACCTCACTATTTAGAACTCATTGGTATTTTGCGGGAAAACTCTTAGTTCACAGCTACGTTACTGTTAGTATACAGAACAATTTATCTAAATTATTCTAAATGGAAATATCCAAAAATCTGTTCTAATCCACTGAGAATTTTTTTCACTCGCATCAATTATGGTGCACAAAAGCAACATTCTGTTCACTATCAATTATTTACTGAAGATATTTTTATAAAGTGATCAAGTTTTTTCATATATTTACAAGCGATCCGGCCCGTGCCCGGCACGGGTATTAAATATATTAGAAAAAAAAATTGCAAATAATATGTAGCCTATGTTACTCGCAGACAACGTAGGTTTCTATTACTAATCACGCTTAACAGATGGAAAATTGACTATATTCTGAAACAGCGAGGTATTGGGATTGTTTAAAAATGAGGATCGAGAGTATGTCTCGTGTCTGGGTAGCGTTTACTTTTTCGCTACACAAGGTAAGATATTTAACGTTCAAGCAGTTGGTATACGCATGACCCGCTTACAAGTATTATTGCTACTGTTCAGGGTAACAAATTTATTTAAAAATAAAATATCTGTCTATGGTAACCGTTTAATATCAGGCGAGTTAAATGCAAGTTTACTTGAATAAATGAATTAAAAAATAAACTTGATGTTCGGTGGATTAAAATAGATTCATCTGTCCATTAGGTCAACAATTTCAATTAAATTAAAACCAACAGTCATCGAGCACGTCAGAGGGTTAGCCACTAGTGCAGTTATGAAACTGTTTCTTTTCTCAAGATGCGGGGTCTTGCGTGGCGCGTTGCTTGTAGCTTTAACAAATCGTGGTTTAATTTGTCCAATTTGCGTCCCTCACATAGCGCCTCGTGGCCGTAATCAACTTCTATTATACTTAGTATTCTGTATACACAGTGAACTGGAATTGTCATTAATCAAACCTTATCCATTTTATCATTGCATATTTAAAGACTGCTTTGATTTATATTATGAAGCTTTGAAATAATTGTATATATACTTATTCAATTATAAGAAAAAATGCGCAATTTATGAATGAATCTTACGTAATACTGCACTTCATAAATTATTGAATTTATCGCGGTGTTCTTATTTAATTATTCCAACTCTTATTATCTCTATATGATTAAAATAAAACTTCTTTATATAATATAAGTAATTTATTTCATATAACACGTTTACATGTCACTGAAACATTAATTACACAATGGATCAACATTATTATGATAGGTTTTACCATTTATACATAAGGGGAAATCCAAATACTATGTGTGGAAATAAATCGACAGTATATATATACCTGGGCTAATTGTCTTCATTGTGATATAAGCCATGTAATCTCTTGACTGCATCCCTAACTAGTCTACAATATTGTTTAATAAGTATAACAAAATTCTGAATGTAGACACCTGATATATTTTTTACAAGCCATGGTAATAATGACTAGAAATATATTTTTTGCTTATTAATATAAGTAAATCTGAAATATAAAAACATGTAAATTAATTGTTCTTTATTTTTTTGATGATACCAATTTATATGAGATTATAGTGAATACCTGTGAAGATTGCGGGCAAGACGTTTAAACAGAATATATTTCATGTCTGCAAATATACTTTTAAATTTAAAAAGGACCCCAGGTGAAGCCAGTCTGAGTCTATTCCACTAATCACACATTTTCTAACCCCCATTATTATACTTTCATTTTCTAGCAAGATTATATAAAAAAAGACAGTGAACAGATGTTCATCAAGACTTTAAAGCTTCATATGCATGAGACTAGAATCTCATGGTATTGAACCCACTAAACAAGTATCAATTATTTATAATACAAAAATTAAAAATATTCATCAATGATCCTTAATTGTGAAAATAGTACAATAAAAATTATATTTAAAATAAATGCAACACAGTAGGAAAACTAATCTAAACAATTACTTGTAATTATAGATTAATTAATAAATAAGCAGTAATCGACATTCTCAGCTACACTTAATATAAATATATATTTTATGCTTATTACATTACCTTTAAATAAAGATTGGGTTCAAATTATCCTTTCGGAGAGCATTTATTTGAATATAAATTACAAAACATGAACATTAGCATTTTCTAGTGGCTGGATCGCTTTAAGATATCTGAATTGAGCATATCAGAATTGTGCTACGTTTATCAACTTGGCAGTTAAGTTCAGCATTATCATAAAATAAAAATACTTGATACTTCCACAACTTTTCCAAGGCATTAGGTTGCAAAATTGTATACCTATTTAAACTATCATAACAGAACCAATTCAAAGGAAATCAACAGATAAAATTGTGCAACAAATATATGTGTATATAAAACTATAGTTATTAAGAAAATTCCTATTGGGGACAAATTATCAACAACTATAAATTTTATCTGAGTATTTATGTAGGTACAAACAATTTATTTAGCAACTGTCAACTTTAGAAATTATTATCAGGATAGTATGACTAATATTAAATTAAAATTCCCAGAAAGGTTGTGATTACAGAATGAGGCCTTGACATACTGTTCTCTCTAATTATAACCCATGAGAGACTTGGCATGAAGGTAGACTTTTTCTAGTATAAATTTACCCAAAAAAATATATGTAACAATTTTATTGAATATTAGTGGTACATTATATATAATTGTAACGAAAATGCAACAGGTAAAGTTTAAAATACTGAATATCATCTATGATATATTATTTTGATGAATGATGAGATCCACTTAAAAAACTTGTATTTATAATTAAGGATCAAATCCTGGAAACAACACTCAATTACACATATACAATACTGTGGTTACATATTACCAACAAAACTACACTACGGTATTAACGATAATATACTTTTAACTTAACACAAATCATTAGGTACTGTCACAATCAATATAAAAAATATTTTTGAAAAGTGCTTATATTTATGATTTACCATAAGTAATTAAAAATATGCATTTGCTTTTGCAAAATAGTTAAATAATGGCACTCAAACCGAAAAAAAAATGCTGAAATACAATTTTAAAGTAGGTACAATCAGAATACCTAATCAATACAATCAGCATAACACACAAGGGGATACAATCAAAGTTATCAAACATATCTAGGTATCATAGACAGTGATGAAAATACAAGTATCTCAATTTATATAAAAACTGTGTCATTCACTACTGAACTACCTGCCTCATAGTTGTTACAAATAGGAGCAAATTAGGCTCCATTAAGCTTAATTTAGGTCCGAAAATTGACATATGAAGTACATACATTAATAGTAGGTTTAGTATATTTCAGACTGGTTCTTTTTGCTGGGGATTACAATTTCATATATAAGCAATGTATATAATGGCTCATGATTATATTAGAGCAATTCACATAAATTAATTGATGCTAACTGTACCTACTTTTTATATTCAATACTTGATTAATATTTGTGCAAAATAATTGCCATATCTTACAATTACAGAAATATATAAAAAGTAAATGTGGTGTGCCACCATTTATGCCAATAATAAGTCTCAAAATGTATAAAAATTATAAAATGTTAAATACATATTAGTAACAATAATAACATATAACTAGAGATGTGCTGTTATCAATATCATTGTCATAAAATATAAGTTCAGCTTTTAAGCATAAAAAATAAATACTATGCCTGCCCCATAAGGAACCTCACATTATAGATAAAATATTGGTATCTAATCATCAAATGCCAATAGTTTTGTAGTTACAACATTAAAATATTAATAGTAAATATATAGAATCATGTATTTAGTCAAATCAATTTGAAAATGAGTACTAAGTCACAAACACATCTCTAATAAATGTGTGCATACATACATATATACAGCATTTTCCATAAATTCTATCTACTACTACTACTAATGGATGTATTTTTGTGTTTTTCTATTTTTTATGCACATTTAATAAATAAAATAATTCCTTAACATTAATAAAATAAAGAAACATTTAGTAGCTTACAATGATACAAATTACTACTAAACTCATATACACAGTTAAACAGGGATATATTTGAAAAAAATAATACAACTTGACACAATAATGGAATACTTCTAAAGTTAGAAAGCCATTAGAAAAGTTATGTATTCAACCATAACTACACACAAATTTTAGTTGCTTAATTATTTTTATGACAGAGAATTTGTGAGTATACATTTTTTTAGTTGGTAAGCCAGCACTTTTTAACATGTTAAGTGCCATCACCACCTGTTGAATAGTCATCATCCTGATATCACATGGCTCTATATGGTCCCTGAGACTTTAAATATTGAATTACCAATGAAGGGCCCGAGGAAACCACTTCAGGAGGAATAGCAGTCAGGGGACAATTTTCAATGCTCATTATCTGCAAGCTAACACAAAGAGCCAACTCAAAGGGAAGATTAAACAAATTAGGATTGTCATTTAAATATAAGGATTCAAGATTTTCAAGAGTACCTATTTCTTCTGGAAGATACTGCAAATTATTTTCACCAACACTTAGGAATGTGAGATTAGTTAAATGCCCAATAGATCGCGGCAAAGACGTCAACTGATTAGATTGCACAATTAATTTCTGCAAGTCATGTAAAAATCCTATTTCATTTGGTAAAACTTCCAATTTATTTTCTTCTACATCTAATACTCTCAATTTTTTCAAACTACCAATACTAGGGGGAATACGCTTTAACAAGTTATTTGATAATATCAATACCTCTAAGTTCTGCAAGCATTGGATGTCATCTGGTAACTTGGTCAAATGATTAGTGCCCAAATTGAGCTCTACCATATTTGTCCAAGTGCCAATATCAAGTGGAAGAGATGCTAATAAATTCTCTTTCATATTTAATTTAGTAAGATTTTTTGCTCTTGAAAATATGGCATAGGGAATCTTGTCTATTTGATTATGCTCCAGATTTATAGAATAAGCATTTGTAAACTGTGCAGGTCCTCCAGAAGGATAACTCATAAATGAGTTACGGGATAAGGTTATACTTGTCAATTCATTTAAACTGGCAAGCAGGCCATCGGGAAGTTGAGATATAGAATTACCTTCAACATTGAATTCATCCATGTGTTTACAATTACTCAATGTAGAAGGTATTGCTGTTAATCTATTGTATCTTAAACCAATACGTGTCAATGCTTGAAGATTTCCAATAGATTCAGGTATATCCAATAAATCATTATGTTGCAAATCCAATGTTGATAAATTAACACAATTACCTATTTCCTGGGGTAAATGTTCTAGATGATTGTGTGAAACATCAAATGTTACCAAATTGATCAATTTCCCAATACCTGAAGATAATTCTTTTATTTTGTTTTCCCTCAAACTTAGCATTGTAAGATTAGTGAGATTAGCAATGCCATCTCCTACTACCCTGATTCTATTAAAGCGTAAAAAAAGTGTAGTCAAAGAAGTTAATTTATAAACTACTTCAGGGATGTCACTTAATTTATTGTGTCGTAAATCTAAGACCTTGAGGCATTTTAGGTTGGCTAGTGAGTCAGGTAAGCTCATTATAGAATTCTCATTCAATGCTAATGTCTGTAAGTTAGTCAAACAACCAAACTCTACAGGAAGAGCCACCAACTTATTACCATACAAATAGAATTCCACTAAATGTGTTAGATCCCTGACATTTGGCGGTAAAGATGTTATGGAACATTTACTGAGGTCTAGTCGCTTATCACCTTCCTCCCGGCATCTCATGAACTCTTTTATGACATCCAAATCAGCTTGTATTGGTTTATTTTTCTTGGCTGTTGGTTTCGGCTTATTAGACTCGGGATGTTTGACAGTTACAACCTTAGGTCGCGCTGCCTCCGTATTTGCAAGCGGCCGTACTGTGTCGGTGTTTGTTAATGTCGCAGATGAAGTGGATGGTTTCTTTTCCCTCATATTACTTGAGCTTGCTGTAGATACTGTAAAATTATATTTTTCTCTGGGACTAGGTAGGGCGACGGCGATACAATCCCACGATTCAGAACAATCTTCGTCGTCTTTATTATTCATACCGCTTTAAGATTGGAAAATATATCCTATTGTTTACTCAATCTTTTACTTGTAGATTATAAATTCAGTTAAACTCACTTGACATGATTTTGTCATCTCATCGCAAAACAAATCAATACATATTTCAGAACAGATGAAAATAGAAACTTCAAATTGTCGTCAATAAGTTCACATAGATAAATAAGTTCTAGAACTGAAAACCTATATTTTATGCACTGGTATTTTAATGAAGAATTATTCGTTATAGTAGGTAGGCAAGTAATAATCACTCAAAATACTTAGCACTAGGAGATAAATTAAAAATTTTAATTTCTGTCAGCATTCCTTTAGCCGTGATCCAATAACTAATCCAACCAAAGACTAAAGAGTTTTGGTACAACCTACTACAGTCTATGGATTGGTTTCGATTGATACGTAACCATAGAACTTTACAAACTATGCCAAAATTACCATATTAGCAACGGCTCTTTCTATTTTAAACAAACTTTAACCGAAAATTGCGCAATTTTACTGTCAATCTAAATAAATAATTTATACATGTCCATACTTTGTGGATATGTCTTAATAAATTTAAAAACAATATAATTCCTTATTCTTAGTGATAAGTTAGCGAGTGAATTATTGTAAATAAGAAATCTTTGTATTGTAGCTGTAGATTATTTTTTTGATAGGTGAAAATGGTATGGTAACCCCGCCTGCGCTAACGAGATACGCTGGCGGAGCACCAGTGAAGGGTGATAAATGAGAATGAAAACAGGCCAGTTAGCCCATCATGATGAATTCATCAGGAATTAACTATAATAGTTTCCAGGGAGAACCGCGAGGAGGTCGACCTGGTTGGGTATATTGCTAGCAATAGGATTCTCAGTCTCCATTACTAACAATCCCTTTCCCCCCAGCTATAGACTATTACGAATTAGGTCTGTTTTTTGACACTTGATTATACCTTGCAAGAAAAGTACATTTAACCGTCTAGCAATTCAGAAACAATCGTAGTTTAAACAACGTACTATAATTTTTTTTGCATTGGTCGTCGTTTATAAAAATGTTCAGTGATCTAGGGCAGTTAGTCATTTTTAATATATTTTTTATAACTTTTTAAAGCTATCATTACCAAAATTCAATCTGTTCCTTTAATGTTATTAATTATATTTTTAAAATCCTGTTCAATCGCCTGTTTGTAAGTAGCATAATTAAATGCATTTTTGTTTTTAATTTTATCAAAATTAAAAACAAAAATGCGTCAAGCGTGTACCACTTGAAAATAAATATTTGTATATAATCTATGCAACCAGCTCATTAAATTTAAAAATTCTGCACTAAAAAGTAACTAGATTTATTTTTGATAGTTATTGAAATATTAATAATATATATTCACCAGACGGAGATTTTGTATAAAAGTCGTTTGCTTGGGCACCTCTGTCCATTCATATTTCTACCGTAAAGTAGTTGTGTTTACATGCCCGTGTTTCGGTTTGATAGGTGGTATATGGCAGTGAATTTACAGGACACAAAGGGATAATACCTAAGTCCTCAGGAATGGCATCGCGTGTGGGATATCATAGGCGAAACACTATTCTCTGTTATATCTATGGTACTGCCCATGTTTATCATAGGCGACGGTTACCACTTTCCATAAGTTGGGCCTCAGGTTGCTTGCCATTGTATGTTACATAAAAAAAATTAGACTGAATATTTGTTTATTGTGTGTGTTGATATATCTAGCTGGTTTCATACATATTATATGTTCGTTTTTCAGTTTCGTCATTATATAAGTAATGCCAACTCTTAAAAACATGGTGATTAATTGCGTACTTGCTGTTACGTTCTATAACTCCTTAGCTAGCTTTCTTTGTTCTTCATCATAAAGTCAAACTATAACTCCAACTCCATGATCATTAATATTACACTAAAATTCTTCTGTTCTTTTTTAATGTTCCGTCTCGTTTCCTATTTGTTAGTATCATAATGGGCAACACTAGTCCCTTGCCAAATTAAAAAAAAAGCAACCACCTATCCATATTTTTAAATTTATCTATATTTGATTGACCATTTTATCACGGATTTGTTTTTATTTTATTGACTCCGATTTGGTAGTTTTTGACTATTAGTTTTCTATTAAACTATATCAACCTAAAGCAAAATGGATAAGAGTAAAGAAAAAGAGGAGCAGAGTATCATGGATAAGTCCATGAGATCTGTTTTTGGTGAGTTTTTATATTTAAGGCTTTTTAGTAGCGAAACCGATAAACTACGATAGTGAAATGATACAAGTATTGGAGAAAACTTTGGTACTTAAAAACTTAAATAAAGAGTGAAGTCTCTAACCGGCATCTATCTATAAAATGTGTTATAACCATTGGGGTAACTATACCTACCAATCTGAGACCAGTGGTAAATTCATCGAATGGGCCCTCACTTTATTTAAAAAAGCTTGACATTGTATTTTATTTTTTATATATCACAATATAGACATGCATAATTACCAACTCTTACAAATTAATGTGTTTCACTTGAAAATACCTTGATGAAATCTTGATAATTTACTTGTATAATTTAAGCATACTCTTGAGTTAATAGTCTAATTTTAAAATAATAATTCGTTTTATTACAAAAGTATGTAATAAATGTTAGATTTATTCTCTGCTCTTAGTCCCTGGAACCAGGCTCAGGTGCTCAGGCTGGGGCCACATATACATAGTATTTTGCCATGTGGTTTACCCTGAAAACCGTCATGATTAACTCTTGTAGAATTTGTCTTGATGAGCTAAGTAACCTGCCTTCACCCTTAGCTACCACCTCTCACTGCTGCCCCACCAGCATATACAGATAGTACAGTTGGGGTTACCATTTTATTATCACTCATTAAAAAATCTTTATTATGTACATTATCAGTTTTATCCTATAAATAACTAAATTTACTACTTACAAAATCTCAAACAGTATGTATATGATTTATGAAATTAAAATACAACAACTAGACAGCTTTTAAAACAATTTACTGAATTCACATGAGCAGCAAATGGCAGGCAACAGCTAGTCACTGATGAGTCAAAACTTCCTAAGTAATTATAATTTTTATAGCAAATATTGTATATAATTATTTAGAAAAAAAAATAATGCTCAAATAGATGATGGGGTGATCTGAGGAAAGAGTCAAGAGATTTATACATGCATGTTGGATCTGGAGTGCCTGCAAGAGATGTAAGGATGGAAAGAAATAACCTTATGCGAATAGTTAAATTGAACCAACTTTGACTATTTAATTAAAATATTAATCTGTAGTAGTTAATAATTACACCAATGCACCTATGTTATTATATTTATTAACATCAATGTTATAATATAATATGTATCTATCATTGTAGTTGGTAATATACCCTATGAAGCAACTGAAGAAAAATTGAAGGATATATTTAGTGAAGTAGGCACCGTGTTATCCTTCAAATTGGTATTTGATCGTGAGACTGGTAAACCCAAAGGTTATGGATTTTGTGAATATAAGGATCAAGAGACTGCTTTGAGTGCTATGAGAAATCTTAATGGTTATGAGATTGGTGGCCGATCCCTTCGAGTTGACAATGCTTGTACTGAGAAATCAAGAATGGAGATGCAGGCTCTGATGCAGGGACCACAGGTTATTATTTTTTTTTTACTTAGGATATCAACAGCTTTAACACATCAATTTTAATAATCCAGATGACTTAAATTTAATATAGTAACAGTTCTCCATGTGTAATTACTAGAGGGTTGAATTGCATAATATTTAAAATTAGAAGTATATTTTTTTAAACTTTTCATAATAATTCTCCTCTTATAAGGAAATGACTCTGCAGTGAAGTATGTTAAATAAATAATATTATATAATTGACATATTAATTATGTTGGTCAATTAAAATATATATAATTGAAAGTTTCTTTATCATAAACATTGTTAACAATTTGAATACGTCACATAAACCAGAGAATGTAATTTATTTTATATTGGTATTTGCTACTTATTTTACAGATTGAAAATCCTTATGGTGATCCAGTAGAGCCAGAAAAAGCACCAGAAGCAATTAGCAAAGCAGTGGCAACTCTTCCTCCAGAACAAATGTTTGAGCTTATGAAACAGATGAAGCTTTGTGTTCAGGTGGTTCAAGTGAATTTATTATTTTTACTGCATTCTTAATAAAAATTATATAAAAACTTATGTGATATTCTAAACAGATTTTAAATATGGAAAAAAAAAATGTTAAACTCTAAACTTAAACAAAATAGAATAGGTTCAAGTCCCATTGGAGATTGTATGGTGTAAGTTGTAGTTGGTAAATAAGAATCTGTTTTAATGATGGTATGGTATATTATATATAGTAATAGAGACTAAAATAATTAGTCATAATAATGCAGCACCTAATTTTGCAATACATGAAAAACAAGGAAAAAGACAAGTAAAATAGTGTTTAAAATGCTCTGTGTCATTAGAGAATATTTTTTTCAGAATAATCCAACTGAAGCTAGAAATATGCTACTACAAAATCCCCAGTTGGCATATGCATTACTGCAAGCACAAGTTATAATGAGAATCGTGGATCCTGCCACTGCTGTGGTAAGTTCAAAAATAAAATTTATAAAATGGGATCTGAAAATGGGTTTTGATGCAAAATAGCAAAAAAAAATTACATTTACATAGTTACCGTTATGTAAACCTAAGAATATACTTATTCTATACAATATATTAGATCAATAATTTCTTTATTTAAAAATGACAAGAAATTTCAAATACCATTCTTAATGACTTAACAGTTGAATATGCTGTGCTACTATGAGAATGGTAGAATTCTACTTTCAAAGCACACTAACAATTTCACCCTATATATTGATCATCTTTCAAAATCAAATTGAGTTTTATAAATATTTAAAAATAATATTTTTCAGAGCATGTTACATCCTAATAATCCAGTGCCTCCTGTTCTCCAGCCAGGTGACAAACCACCCCAACAGAATCAATATATTCCAAGTAACCCTCCACAAGGTTTGTTACTTAAATATTATTATATTATAGACTGGCTCTATAATAATATTACTAGCAATTTTTTTTTTTTATTTTATCTTTCGTTTGACAAAAGTAAAGCCAATACACTTATCCATTCAAAACGTTACTCATAAGTTTATATCAAATTTCATGATCATAAGTTAAATTGTTAAGGTGTCAAGAGGTAACTAATACTATATAATATAATATACTGACATTATCTTTACAATATACTGACTTTTTTTTACTGAATCAGGTGTTGTCTTGAAGTCCATATCACCGTTTATTTATTTAGAATTATTTTGTTTAATACCGCCACCATTCATATGTGTGTGACTGCTTGCGACTTGCAACATTGCTGAACGGTTAACACTAGGCTTCGAGCAGCGATCTAATCATTTGCCTGAAAATGCTTCGTTTAGAGATGAAACAAATGCCACAAAATGTGAGTGAAAAAAATGGCAGGCAGAGATTGATGGCTAATATGGAAGGTTGTGAAACTTTTAGTAGTAATAGTGGTGATCACTCTTCTAGTGTTGGCAGTCACACACACATACTAATGGTAAAGGAATTAAACAAAATAATAACCAATACTAACTTTTATCAGGGACTTTACCACATGACATGATAAATAATCAGAATAAATAGTAGCCTATGTCCTTCATCTCATATCGCATGTGTATATCAAAGCTCATGTTAATTGGTTGAAGGTGTTAAGAGGTAGCAAACAAACAAACTCACTTTCAGATTTATAATATTAGTAAGGATACCAGGTGACCCGACAGACATTGTTCTATCAAAATCTATTGGTCTATAGTAGTCTGTCTCATCTGTTGACTCTGGTCTTAATAAGATAGACATCGTTCATTTACAACTTTCTTATATTAGTGAAATAATATTATAAAGCCAACTACATATTTTATGTTAAAACTTTTTTTTCTCAGCGCAACAACAGCTACCTTCATTACTTAGCAATCCAGTGCCACCTCCTAGTCAGTTTGTTCGTGAGTATTATTATTCTTGAAGAAGTAGAAACAATATGGCAACACATAAGGTGTGCACTAGCCCTGTAATTCTACTATAGGATGGGCTACCCTTTCCTTTCCTGTGGGTGTCGTAGGAGACGATTAAGGGAACTTAATGGTCGAAGGATAGTCAGCAGCGTCCCTCTTTAAACATCACTAAAGCCTAGTTGCGGTTACCTATCCAACTACTGGCAAAACCCCGAAAAAAAAAACTGTTTAGATATGAAAACTGGACACTCAGAACTACAATTTCTTGTTTTTAGATTTTCTATACAATCATTTATCTCCAAGTTATCCCTTTTTGACTCGCCCAATTTGGAATATTTATAATATTCCTTAATTTTTGCGATTAATGTAATAAAGAAACTCGTACATATTTATAGACAGATATTTGGATACACCCCAAATATTAGTAATTGAAATTTCTGAAATTTCTTATCTTTGCATTTGTTTACCTCAAAAAAGAATTTTGTGTTTTTAGGCTCCAGTAATTTTGACTCTACGATGACGAATCAGTCATTTCAATAATAATTAATAAGATAATTAATAAAATAAATAGGAATAAATACATTAAGCCCTCCTTTTATTACACGTTGTGTTGGTTAATAAAGTTTAAATAAAATTTAATTGAAATAAAATAGTTGTTTCAAAGGTACGACGTCTACGCGTTCTTAAATATATCATTATTGAATGTGACGTTTAATAGATATATTTGAATGAAATTATTATAAAAATTGTTTATATCAGCTCGGCCAACGATTGGCGATGTCGATCTCCGCGGGCAGTCACGCAGTGGTGGCGCGGGTAGTAGCGCTACCACAGGGCCTCCTGTGGCGGCGGCAGGGAACCCAGGGCCCGGCGCGGGAGTGGCTGCCGGGGCTACAGCGCCGCCGCCGCTGCTGGACCAGGACATGCGTAGTCTGCCACCAATGGTGCCGCACCCGGTGCCTCCACCGCCTGCATCGATACCACCTCACGCTCAAGACACGTACGTATACTGACATCACAGCGATATAAATGGATATTGCAACTACATCTACCCAATTTGCCCAAAATAATCCCAAAAATATCTACTCGGATAATGGAAAAGAGTTATAAAAACAAATATACAAAAATACCTGACACTGCTATTTATAAAAGTTTAGTTTTCTCTTGTAAATTGACAAAAAATATGGCATGCTTTATTTTTACTTGTACATAGAGATGTTTGGCATCATGGCGAGACACTAGGCGTCATGTCGTATAGGGAGATAAAGGATATGGCCTGGGATAGAGCTGGCTGGAGGAAGATGCATGAATTAGTTGCAATGACAAGAGGAAACTCTTAAATGAAGAGAAGAAAAGAGATGTTTGTGACAACATGCGTATGCACAATTTAGTGCAAAGGCATGAAATTCACATTTGTCTATTTTTCTGTACCTTTGAAAGTAGCTAACCATTTCGACAATCGATGGTAGTTTTTTTATAAAAATATATTGAGTTATTCATTACCTTATTCATAAAAACTTTAATTTCCTATCAATACATTTAAATTTTTAGAGTATATTGTTATTTTTTGTACATATTAAATAATTGCCTTAAAAGGAAAAGACAGTTTAATAGTTAAAAAATGTTTAGAAGGTATGTAATGTTTTTATGAATATATGGAAATTAAATAAATGGAAATTTAATTAAGTCAATTATATATTTAACTAAAAATTAAAAAAAAATCCTTGTTCTTGATAAAATTACAAGTCACATAGACAGGCAATAAAGTCTCACAGCTCTAATTATAACATGCTTAAAATTCTATAATAATTATCCATGATAATAATAATAAGTATTCATAAAAATTTGTCTGTAAATTTCTGATAAAATTGACTTTCCTTCTCAAGATCTACTCTATCTACGGAGGTACACGAAATGTAAGTCTACAGTATTCAGTTCTAATTTGTTTTACTCCATAAAAGACTGTGTTACATAGTATGATTCTACTTTATGATTATACTTCCTTTTTTTCTTGTTCTTTTGTTCAAACGTTTCTTATATGTGACTGGTTGTTTTTTAAGTTTAATTATTTTTCCTCTGATTAATGTACGTGACATAAGCCTCGCTCCTTTTAATGACGTCATGACTTTGTCGATCAATTTACTTTATATAATTATTATATAGGTACCAAAGTTTATTATACATACTTACTGAAAAACCGAATGTGCACTGATGAACATAAGATTGCCTTCGCTATAAGGGGAGTTTTGCCAGTAGATGGCACCTGGCAGGCGGGTTGGCAACCGCAGTTGGGCTTTTAGAGATATTTTAAGAGGGAGGCTGCAGCCCATCCTTTTGTGCGTGTTTTTGATATAAATACAATTAAATCTCATACTACCCATTATCAGCTCAAAGGACGGGTCTCTCTATAAGAGGATGATGTTGAATAGAAGTCTATTACCTAGATAGTTAGGTGGTTTTTTGAAATATGTATTTCGAATTTTTCTTTTTTTACATCGGTGTGTTGTGAACCTAAGCTGAGTTCCTAATTAACTCTTACGACATGCAAGGGCTAAAAAGGAATGGAATCCATTTTTATTATAATATACTATATAGGTATATTTATTACAAATTTATTTCATTATTTTTACTATACAAAATTTTCAGAATCTCACACTACTCCCACCGTCAAAAAGGCTGGAACAAACTTTTTTCTTCTCATATTTCTTAAATATTTATTTATATTTTGTTGTACACAAAAAAGAGTTACTTGATATTGCTATAACTTTTTATTGTTAATTGTAACTTATTTTGAATTATTATGACAACAGAAGCTTCCCGCGGGACCCACGATTGGCAAATATCCAACAGCCGTTCAACGCGGATCCAAGGATGCGAGCCAACGATCCGCGATCCCAGTCAAAGATGTCTCAACGTGAGTGAACCAATTTATTATAGGCAAAATTAGATGATTCTGCGTTATTTCTTTCGTATGACTTTTCAACGTCATATGTGACGTATTATATTCAGCGTTAGGGGTGTCCATCTCTAGAAATCTGTCCGGTTCTAGAATAAGGGCATACGGTTATGTAAGCCCTGCTTCCCGAGCCGCTGTAGTGTCCCGCTCCTTTCAGCAACTGCATTATCACCTTCATTCTTTTTCCTTTTCCATATAAGTTCCTAATTCTACTTATTTTACCAATTTCCTTTATGCATTTCCAATGTTCACTTTTTTTTCCTCAATCCGTATGCGGCGGAAACCATCAACAAATACATTCCCAAAGAGAGTTGACGTCAGGCAGGCGGCCGGTTGTAAAACAAAATCTTTTTGTAAAATGGATAAAAACATATTACTTCGACCCTAAATAGTAATTGGGATATGGGTAGAAAGATGATGATGATGATGTGACGTATTATATTAGATTTTTGGGCGTCTGGTTGTTTACCTGCCAAATTTCATCCCAAATTGGTCCAGTCCCAATCAGTAAAACTTGACACTCGCACCTATTAGAAGTCGATGACGATAATAAATGATGTCACTCATTGTCACGTCTTGAGACTTGAGTTCCATATAATTTATGATTGTGTTCCATTAAAAACAAACCTACTTCAATCGTGGTAAAACCAGGAATTTGATTTCAAAGCTAAACTACAGATCCGATTTTGATTAAATTTCTATGAGAACAATCTGTCAGTATATTCTTTTAGATAAAAAAAAAAAAAAAGAATTTTCCAATGGTTTATGATTGACGAATTTATGAGGTAACAAACAAAAAAAAAAAAAATATAACCGAATTGTTATTACCTTTTCTTTTTGGAGTCGGTTGAAAAAAATAATAAGATTTTTCCTTGAAACTAAAATAATGTTATAGATACTCTGTGTATTCGTGGGACTTTTGTTTTGTATTCTGTTTACTGCAATACATTATATAAGAAATAGTAAAAAAAGTATTAAATTTTAACAGTCATTAAGAAGTTCTCGTTACATATGTATAATTAACACACTTGGCTATCAAGGAAAAAGAATGTTAATCTTTAAAATTTAAACCTTATTTCGACGTAATTAAGTTCAATTTCGTTAGCTATCAAATTTTATACATTAAGTAGAATGTGGACCTGATTCAAATCAACTCTTTAAGGAAAAGTAATGTGCAATCAAATGAATATTGATAATTATTGGTGCAGAACAAATGCCCCCCGGCATGCCAAGCGTTGCGCAGGCTAGAACTATCCAGGGTATACCATCTGGCGCTTCAGATCAGGAGAAGGTATGTTGGAGATATTTTTTCTATTTTTATTACAATGTGCCATACCGCAGCGTGTTTCATGAAATTAACAATATTGCAAAATTCATTGATTTAGACATTATTATTGTAATTGTTCATTTTTAAAATAAAGTTTAAAACATCGATAACAATTTACACCAATATTAAATTTTTTTTATATTTCGCTTCACATGACAATTATAATTTTAAAAAGTTAATTAACACAGTTTTCTTTATGATATATTTATTTTTGGTAAAATTCCCCTTTTTACATTGTTCCAGTAACTATGAATTAAAAATTTTGTGTTTAAAAAGTATTTTATTCTGCTTTCTGAAACCACAATTTATCATTATGGTTTTTTGAGTTATAGTTCTTTATCATGTTAAAAAAAGTTTTCTAATGATAGTAAATGTACTAAAATAGAAATAAATTAATAGTCTTTTATTATTGTCGTTATTGTTTAATGCCGATAAGGTTATAATAAGCAGTGCTTATATTACACAAATGTGTTATCAGGCGGCGTTGATTATGCAAGTGTTGCAACTGTCGGATGAACAAATCGCATTGCTACCTCCAGAACAGCGTGCCAGCATCCTTATGCTCAAGGAACAAATCGCTAAAAGTACCCAGCAGCGTTAGTATGGGTGGTTCGATATTATTAAGTAAAATTTTAACTCAGATTGTAATAAAGTGTATGTTGTATTGTTTGTGAGTTTTTATAAGCGTACAATCAATTGATGTAATTAAAATGGACTTTATTCGAAGTTGTATTTTTATTTTTTAGTATTTGATATATTGATTTCTAATCTGAAACTATCACTGAGTTATCAGCAGTTAACCCCCAGTTGTCTGTCAATTTAATTTTATAAACAATTTATTGACAGCAGTTCCGTCGGAATTAATTTAAATATTTAACTAAGTAATAGTAGATAACCTATTCGCCTTTCAATTTTAAAATTAAAACTGCGCCTCTATATTGACTTACTAAAACGAAATTTTAATTTTGCACTCACTCTAATGTAACCAAACTCATTCTTTACTCGTTATTTTGAGAATGTCGAATCGCCGGGAGACATGTAAAATTCGTTGTAACGAGAGACAAGCAGACTTATCGCTATCTACATAGTTTCCCGGACCCCTAGACAAGTGGCATACAAATTTATCGTTATCGATGGTGAGTCCATGAGACAGAATGAGATTGCGATATCTAGTGTCTTGTTCTTTATCACGCGAGCACTAAGCGAAACTATTTCATCGATAGATTCGTTTGTCATTTGTTCAAAGTGGCTGTACAGTGAGTAACAGGTACAACTCTTCTAAGGTGTGTAATTGTCTCATTTGATACAGAGTACAGAAATATCAAATAATCTTTACTAATATCATAAATGTAAAAGAGAATTTGTTTATTACCTGATAGCACATTAGCGGCTTGAACAATCACTATGAAATTTATTACTTATGTACTACATGAGAAAGAGAAGGGTATAGGCCTTTTTTATGCCATTTAGAATGGCAAACAAGCTGACGGCCCACCTGATGGGAAATGGTAACCGTCGTCTACAGACTTGAACTGTACCAAAGACTTAACAGATTATACTGTGTGGTTCATGAAGTCATTTGTTGCCATTCCTGAGGATTAAGATGTTATGCCTCTGTACTCTGTAATTTCACTGTCGTATCTCACTCTTCAAATCGAAAGGTGGCATATAGCACTTTTTATCCCGGTGACGTAAAGGAAATCGTGGGTAAATGCTAGTAAAGTCATAATTCAAACAATAATATTTGATATGATTAACGATTATCGTAAATAAATAAAGTGACAGTGTTATCTGTTTAGATTTGTCAGGTCAATCATTACATTGTTTTTTATCGTGCATACGTGATGTATTTATCACGGTACAGTCTCGACACTATATACATATTTGTGAGTATAGGTAATAAGCCAATTCTTATCTATAATAATAAGTTTGACAATATCAGAAATAATTCTCCTTTTCCCGCCTATGCTCTTGGTTTACACTGGCGGAGTATTGGTTAGGAATGATTTTTTTTTTAATGAATGATAATGAAATGGTAACCCCTCCCGCGCTATCGGTATACACTGGCGGGGCACCAATGAGGTATAATAGGTGATGATGAAGTCAGGTAAGTTGGTCCATTGTGACGAATTTGACAATATATAATCACGATGGTTTCTAGGGGGAACCGCGTGGAGGACTAGCAGTGGGGATTATCGTCCCCGTTACTAACAATCCTCAACCCGAGGAATGATGTTAGGCCGTAATTAGGCCTATTGACACATAATGAAAAATTTAATCCAATTGTGTTACGTTTTAAAAAAATCCTAGGTTTCCAGAAGAATGTAAATCGTAGGTGGATATATTGCTAGATATGGGGCCGCTAATTCCATTATTAACAATCTTGGGGAAATGAGATTGTTAATAATGGAATTATGAATAATTATGAATATATGGATATGGATATATAACATAGAATTATGAATGGAGTAGATATTAACGACAAAGAGTGCATTTATGTTTTATTTGTTGTACTTATGCCAATCAATGTTCCCCGAATTATTCAGGTAGCTTTATAATCTACCTACCTCTGTTATCTGCCTAGATATTTATTAATAAAGGATTCTGACAATGACAAGTGTAGCGTTACTTATACGAATAAAGATGGCAATAGATCCTGCTGATACGGAGTTTCGGCATGAGACCTGACCCTTCGTTTCTTGTGAATGCCACCAAAAAGTGTTACATGTTTATGCCTAGCACAACGAATCCTTTATGCAGAATTTGATTGTGTAGTATGTATAGTATAGGAAACTTATCTTTGTAATAAGTAAATAATTAGTATATACCTACTAATAATATAGTAAATAAAAAGAATTACTTCTTGGATCTAATATACTAAGAGCGCAGAAGTCCCTGTCGTAATTACTTAATTTAAAGTACTTACGTAGTTCGAATTAATTCGGTTTCATATCCTTGACATTCAACTTTACACTTGTCCTATTTACAAATCATGGCTTGAGATAGGTATATCTATTTACAATTTCTGTCACCTATGAACATGAATTATCAAAGATTGTAAGCAATGTAACATTACAATTAAATCCTTACTACTAATATAGTTAAGATTCAAATTCCTTTATTCTGGAAAAGTACTAGTCACGTAGTGAAGTTTGCCATGAGTGGTTATTGATAGAAAATTACTTATAACATTCGAGATTAGCGAATATACTTGCTGTTTTCCGAGCAATCGAGATGCCTGCGATGTTATCATTAGCTAATAAAGACAACATAGACGTTTATTGTTTCCCTCCGGACTTTCCTATCATCTGCTTTATAAACACATTTCTTATGTAGGCAAGTACGGTCATTCTTGTTTGGCACTAGTCTTGTGGCGGACGTGACGCGCTAGGAAATAAATATTTTGAATTTGTTCATATCTGTTTATAAATAAATATTGTTCAGTGTATCTATTTGGCAAACATTCGAGGTATGTACTGTCTTGACGCGATTTTTTTGTTTTTCTGTTAATTTTACTAGTTAATTTTTTAATAACAAGGATTATCATTGTTTTCAAAATGTAAATTGTTGCCTAGGTATTAAATAATTAAAGGTAAGATAGATAAATATATCTTTCACAAACAAAAAATAAATGTAACAACATAAATACTTTATTGAAGTTCCATTTAATTATAGAATAGAATATACATATAAAAATAAATTATAATTAATAAAAATAATTAATATACATATAAAAATGTTTTTTAAAGTAGGCAGTGCAGGTACTTAAATTTTTAATCGACTTCAAAAAATTAAGTAGGAATTTATTGTTATTATTCGACTTTATTATTTTATGTGTAGGTATGTTAAGCTCTATAAGCTGATTTTAATAAAATTTTTCCTCAGTCGTAATGCCTTACTCCAGTGTTGGATTAAAACCATTTTTATTTCAAAATTGTGGTCAGTTTTAGAAATAAAGATTATTAAAATATGAAAATTATATTTCGACAGTACTTAATTGTGTGATCAGAAAAATCTCAAAGCTAGTGGGAATAACACCGCGCATTCTACACCACGCTGGGTAGTTTTAAAAAAAGTTAACTGTAGCCCTTGTACTAGCGCTACAATCGACTTTTTTAAAAAACAATTTATTGAACAAAAAAGTGATGTACTTATCTGCGATGCAGGTATATTCAGAATGAAGGCAATATTGACGATATTTGTTTTGTGTCTGCTGAGTCTACATATAGAAGGTAAATGGAGTCCAGATTTCGACGAAAGTCGAAATGAATACAGAAACTACCGTGACGCAGCGAATGAGGTTTCGACCCGTCGACCAAATTATAACATAGTCGATCCACCAGACCATACCAAACTGATTCCAATGGCGAGATACGTGCTTCATAATACTGGTTAGTAGCTAATAATTAAATGTACACGCAATAACCGTTCGACTATAACTTGTGTACAAATGAATCTTTTCGGTTCCATTAAACAGTGTATTAAGACAATTAATGTACCAACGTAATTATGTTTATTTCCTTAGATTAGATTACATAGATAAATAATTCTAATGCTAATTAATTTTACTATTTTAATTTAAACAATAAGGTAAAGGCTCATCTGGTAGAAAGTGGTAACCAAACCATCGCCATCAGACATGAATAGCACCAAGGACATCAAAGAACAGAGGGAAACTTTGTACAAAAGTCAGTTGTTTGAATACCTCTGTCCCATGCGTGTTTCAACCATGAAGCAGCTGGGAAGGGTGGGATATGACGTGAATTTACTGGGTATAGAGGAATAACACCTGAGTTCTCAGGAATGGCAACGCATGGGGGGTATCATGGGCGAAACAGTATACTCTGTTATATCCATGGTACTGCTTATGTCTATAAGCGACGATTACCATTTTCCATCAGGTGGGCCGTCAGCTTGTTTGCCATTCTAAATTGTATAAAAAAACACTGTGGCGCCCAATGTTTTTTTAAATGGGTGAATATGGGATGTAACCCGCCTGTGTTATCGATATACGGTGGTGGGGCACCAGGGAGCGATGATAGGTGACAATGAAAACAGGTCAGTTGGCCCATCCTGATGAATTCGATAAGAATTAAGCACAATGGTTTCCAGGGGGAAACCCGTAGAGGTTGACTTAAATAGTTTATTGCTAGCAATAGGGCTGTTAGACTCCATTACTAACAATCCCTTCATAATATGTTGCCACCCCTGATAATGAAGGTATATACTGTACCCAGTACTTTCACTGTCACAAGCATAATTGCTTGACGGTACAAAGTGAATAGAATAGAGATAAACTCTAAAATATCTCTCTGGTGATGATAAGCAGTTGGTACCAAATAGTCGAGACTATTTCAAATAACTGGTTTTTTAAATTTTATCGTTTTTCAGATTGGGCATCAATAGCTACTATATCCACATTACCGGCCATTCAAGGTTTCCCATTTTCAAATATCAAATCGATCGTGGACGGCTCGCTTGCTAACTCTACGGGTGTACCATATTTCTACATGTCACCTTTGGATTTCACTGCGAGAGATTTGTCTGTGAGTACATTCCACTGGTGTTATCTTAGGTATATATTTTTTTTTGTATCGCTGATTCGGTATAATTGATTGCCACATATTCTTTTTTCTTGGCTTACTTAGGTATCTTTTTATCGAAATAGTTATTTAAAAATAAGACAAATATCAATGTGCCTACAATAATAGCTACCAATAATAAACACCTTTTTTTCCTATGATTTGTTAATTTTGTGCTTTATTAAATAAAAAGCCATTGATTGGTTATTAAATATGCTCTATATAAGGAATTTTACATTTTTTTTAATATAGATACTTGATAATATGGGGTAAAATGAGGTTAACACAAAAATATAAGCATAAAAAATCCTTCGTAATAGATAGGTACATACCAGGAATTCGTATACAAATTTGTCTGCTAATATTAAAAATAGTTATAATATTTTAATACTTAGATAAATATTAGCTACTACTCACTGAAATAATAAACAATATCGTTATTAATTGATGATTTCTATTTGTTAGAGAAACAGCCGTGCCACTGTTCTCGTGTCCCTCGAGCAAACGGACTATTGCATTAAAGAGAAAATTGATGCTGAAGATCCCCGCTGCACCAGGCTTATACTCACTGGGAAAATGAAGAAGGTAAATATTTAAAAGCAATTAGAAGATAGTGCAGATGTTTTGTATATGAATTGATAATACTTGTAAGTTTGTTACGTTTTGATGCCTCAATGGCTTAACCAATCATGATGAAATTTAGCATACGCATATATATTAACATTTGGGATGGAGAGGACACAAGCTCAGTCAAGCATTCAACATATTTGTGTCATGTGGACGAAGTCTTGATTGAAAACTAGTAATTTAAAAGCGTGTCTTAAAATTATTAATATAAAATATAACTACAATCAAATTCTGTGGTTTTGTCCGCACCGAAACTTAGATATCCCGTTTCTCTGATACAAAATTGAATTAAATTTAGTTTAACTAAATTTTCTAATATTACAGGTAAGAGAGGGCACTCCTGAATACATTTTCTCAAAGGCAGCCTTATTCGAGAGACACCCAGCAATGGCAAACTTCCCAGTAGGTTAGTATAAATTTAAAATTTTACTATACCTACTAATATATATGTTTTGATAGGTATTAATATTTAAAATTAATAATTGAACCAATCCAACATTTAAGGAGGAGACCTATAAGTAACTTGATCTCTTTCATAATTTTCTTATAATGCAAACGCAGCACAATATATCATTATAATGTAGCTGTTATAATATAATAATAGTAATAGGTATTTATTTGTTTATTATGTATGTCTGCATGTGGCTGATATTACACGGAAAATATAATGTGTCATCACTCCTGACTAAGCAGTCGTAAAAGTCAACTAACAGGACAATGAAAAGGAAAAATTAATATAAAACCCTTTTAGATAATTTATACTTATGTCTATATTAAGTTGACTAGTAAGCGTGGTAATAGTTTTAAACTGATATACTTAGTTTTTTAATGCGTGACGATTAAATGGTAATCCAGTCCGCGCTATCGGTATACACTGGTGAGATACCAATCACAAGCCGTTTGTTAGGATGAAGTCACTACAAATTAGCTAGGGACGACCGCAGGGAGAATAAAAGCAGGTCAATTAGCTCATTGTGACGAATTAATGACAATGGTACCATTACTAACAAATCTTTCTCTTCCACCGATACATATATATATATAATAATAATCGATATATATGTATAAATATAGATCATACATATCCTACACTGACTATGTGGTTCGATATAAGATTTCACTTCTAATTTTTCTTCTCTTGTTTACTGTACTTTGTTCCACTAGCCGCCTGTCACTTCCCAGGAATGAAAAGGATTGGTAACACATAATATTTATAATCTGTCACTAGACAGCAACAATAAAATCATGTTTTATTTTTGCAGATCATAATTGGTTCATCGCAAAGTTGAAGATCGCTCAGATTGCAATGATCGACTGGTTTGGAGGAGCTAAATACATCCCTGTAAAGGATTATCTGGCTTATAACTACACAGGCACTGAAATGATTCAAAGATACAATGAATTGTATAGGAAAACCGACTCTTAATTGTAATAAGATTAGTAGTATATCGAGACTCATTGAGAATGTGTGATAAACTTAGGTAATTACTTTTTGTTGTAGGATATAAGTACAAACAAATAAGAACGCAAATACATATTTACAAGTAATATGTTTTTATAATAGTTTTTTTGGAGTATTTAAATTAAATTATTATTACAGTTGAAAGATAATATATGCATGATATAGAATAAAAGATATAAAAGTATATAATACTTAATTTTATATTCCCAACTCCATATAACAAAACAATAAAGTTAAATATATAACAAACGTTTTTAAATAAGAAATGCGAAATACATTGGCAGTTGCATGATACATTAATAAAACTAGTACTAAATACCTATACAGCATAAATTATAATATAGCACCAGGTACATTTATAATATTGCAAGAATTGTAGAGAAAATTGCAAAACATTATAGATAATTTTAAGTCCCCAATTATCGACTCAAACAAATAACGAAATAATCTTTGTAGATCACGCGACAATAACGTACCATAAGTGCGTAAATTTTGTCGTATGATGACCATGGGGATCGTTTAGTTAGTAACTTACTGTGTCGACATGCCTTTAGATATACTGCCTAATATTTACAATATTATTATGTGCAAGTTACACAATAAAATGTCGCAACACAATAAAAAAAAAGCATTACATTTATTTTACTGTTCTAGGTGTTATTTTGCGGAAGTTCATATCGTTAGTTCTCGCTTTTTAATTAAGAGTTTTTTCTTGTCAGTGTAACTAATTCATGCATCTTCTTCAAGCCAGCTCTATCCCAGGATATCCTTGACCTCCCTATACGACATGACACCTAGTGTTTCTTTTATCTGTCCCATGTAGTTATTCCTCGGTCTTTCTCTTCCTTATTAGTTACTTGATTAGAATTATTTTGTTTAGTCTTCAAGTATTGGCAGTCGCACGCATATGTACTAATGATAGTGAAATTCAACAAAATAATTCAAAATAATCAACTAACTAGCATTACATTTATATTTTATGATTTTTATTTCAGAAGTGTATATTATTACATTCTAGTAATAGAATTACTTTACTAATACATTGTTATAAATAGGCAGGATTATTAATATTTCTAAGGTTTTAGCTGGAAGAAAAAGTACTTAAATCTTATGATTTAGATCATAAATTTTTTATAGAGATAAATTTATTTATTTTCATAAAAAATCATAAACTATTAATCTATTTTCAACCGACTTCGAAAGGAGGTTCTCGATTCGGTTGTATATTTTATGTTTGTTACCTCATAACTCCGTCAATTATATACAGATGTGGATTTTTTATCTAAAAGGATATACTTAGATTGGTTCCATAGAAATTTTATCAAAATCAGTTTAATAATTTAGTTTTTAAATCAAAATAACTGGTCATGTCATAATTGAAATAGGTTTTTTTGTGTAACACAACGTTAAAATATGATAATTGTATTTTTGGAATAAATGTGGATTACTGGCTGTAATCCCTAGTGATGACAAAAATAAGTCAACATGTATGTGGACCAAAGATATCGGGTGTGGATCTATATTAATATTGCAACGTTTGACGCTTTTTTCTTTTTATAGTGCAAAATTTTTATATTGGTTTTATAGAAAATCGCAAAATGGCTTATAACTGAATATCTGCAGGTACGGCAATTAAATTCCTCTTAATACGTTAAATGAATTTCTGTTTTATTTTGAATAACTGCATAACAGTTTTTGTTAACACTGATTTTCATTGTCATTAGTAGAAATAATAATTTATTTCCAAATGAAGGGCATTTTGTAGCTAAAGATTATTAATAATATAATATAAAGGGATTAATAATATATACATGAAGATTTATTAAATTGTATAACTTATAATCAATCGTATAACTCGATCATAAAATATGAATCACAATATTTTAAAAATCGATATTCGGTTGATTATAATTGTCATAAGAGAATTATTAGACTCCTTATACTTTTTTTCTTAAATATCTCCAATGTACAGATATTATTTACAATTTTATTATATTAGCAAAATTTTATGATTCTAATTGATAATAATGAAATTTATACCAATGCAATATTTATAGAAGTTGAACCTTTCCATTGCAATGTATGCATGATGCAACCGGCCGTACTGTGTTCCCACTGTTGCTGTATGCTAAATGGACCAGTGCATTTACTGGTACCTCATTCACCTTTCTAACTTCTAAAGGCATAGCCATAACCTAAAAGCAATAAGTTTTAATTTAAACACATATACAATTAATTGAATTATGTATAAGACATTAACTTCCAAATTAGGAAAGTTAATTGGGTGCCTGCTCATATATGTTGCAGATTATTATAGTTATCACTTATAGGTGTACCATAGAGAAATATGCACTTCTCAGCCATTGTCAATCATAAAGGTGGTATGTATTTTGTAATTATCAAAAAAATTTACTTATTTACAAAACCAATACATTTATTTTTTATTTTTGAATCCTTTATTTTCTTAAACAGCAGTGGACAAACTGTTGCTTTTCATTAGGATTCAACAATTAGAATGGGAAAGTAGATTGAATCACATATAAAATATTGATAGTATGAATGTATAAATATGTATGTTGTTCAATGATATAATGACACTAAGAATAACCTTTCTATCATAGCTTTTATTTCAATTGATTGAATCATTTGGGATAATGTTTAATGCCCCTTTTGAGTTAAGGCGATAATAAGAATATATTCTATAGCCATAAATAATGATTTATAATGCCCTTAAGAATTCACAATTTTCCATGGAACATAGTCAAATAGGTAAACTTGTCAATTTTAATATATTTTGTTTATATAATCTTCTCATGATAAAATATCCTCAAGATATGATAAGGAGTGACTAAAGGAATAAAGTAACATACATAGTGTTCGCTTCCAATGTTGAAATAATATATAGGAGTGTATAATGGTAGTATTATGATTATAAACGTTATAAATAGCACTTTATAAACTTACATTTTCAGCATGCTTTTCTCCATCAGTAGCCGAGGGTAACTTATCTAAATGACTGATATCTTGTTTCTCAACTGTACTACTAATATTTTCTGACAGTTTCAAGTTAACTGAGGCCAAATCTATTATATTAGTAGAATGTGGAGTTGTAGCATTGAAATTCAAGTTACCAATGGGACGGTTGTAAGCTCTGCTATTGCTCATGTACTCAGAAATGGTGACATTTTCAAGCCACTTTTCATGTAGACTGTACAAATTTTTGTATGTACACAACATCATGTCTCTTGATCGGCACCTTTCATCCAACAGTTGCCTTATTGCTTGTTGTAGATTGTCAGTCTTCTCAGTGAGCAATTTTTTGCATTGTGCTAATTCTTCCACCATAAGACTGGAAGAAATTAATTAATAATTAAATCTTTATTACCTGTTTTAAGAGTTATTTTAAAATTGCAAATATAACAGGTAACTAAATTAATAATGGGTTATTATGGACAAATCTATATATATTCTTTATTGCACTTAAACAATATATGCGATGATTAGTTTAACAACTTGTTAGCAAGGGAGGACTTATTTCTGAAAGAGATCTCTTCCAGCCAACACAGTGTAGTTAAAGAGAAAATAATTTATCTATATAGGCCTATTTAAGTAAATATATATATTTATAAACCATAATGTAAAACAAATGTAATAGCTTTAATAATAAAAATAAATAGTTTAAATGTTCAAAGAATAAAATGGCGTGGCTGTGATATTTCATTATTCATTAAAAAATTACACAACTAAATATTAAGTTATTATATTCATATATACTTTATATATAAAATATTATACCTACATATAAAATATATACATATATATTACTAGACATACTATATTATTAGACATGCTGAATATGCTAAAATAGGTACCTGCTGGCTAGAAATTTACTTCTCCATACTTCACACTGTCCTGCCAACCATTCTGTTTGTTCCTAACAAAGAAAACATTGGATTATTTTACAAAATAAACATAGAACTTCTAGACATTTCCATTAATGCAGGCATCTAATGACATATCATTATTGTATAGTATAGAATGAATATTACCTTTTACAAATAATATAAGTTACATGTCAATATGTCAGTCTATTGTTATGGCTAAACTGTTAGTCCTTTTAATTTTTAAGTTAGATATTCTATGGGGTAGAGAAGTAGGCACGATTTAGAAGACTGTCTAGTTGAAATATGGTGATAAGGTATTTAATAAGTAAATAAGTGAAATAAACTGACACAGAATTATATAGTATATTTTATATCATAGATTATGTCACATAATATCCCTTTAATACCTGATGGGTAGAAAGATGTTGTGCAGAGTTTAGCAAAGCATTTGCTAAGTGTTTTTTGTCTTCATTAAGTGATTGTACTTGGGTCTCTAAATCTTCTCCCATTGATGCTACTAACATAGTTTTCAATTCCTTATTGACCTGAAAAAGCATAACATTTATATTGTGTTGTTTATTTCAAATAGAGTTTGCTTTAATATATAAAAGTTGTTTTAAAATAACTTCACTACAATCTACAAACTTTTTAAGCAATACACTTCAGATTTAAAGGCATGCATATTTCTTATAATCATGAAGACAATTCTTTTTAATCTTATTGAGAATTACTACCATCAGAAATAAAGGACACAATTGAACTAAACAAGGAAATAATTTCTATATATTTATACAAAATTAATTACTGATAATAAAAAATATGATATAAAGTTATAGATTGTTAGTTGATCATGTAATCTAATGCATTATTCCTTTTACTCTCACAGGTTGCTACCAATCTCACAGGTTCTATTCTTGCTGATTCAGGGGAAGTAATTAACTGACTAGTTTTTTGAATAGATGAAAACAGAATACTATCCTGACTAGACTAATTGAGGATGAATTCATCAGAATTTTGCCATGTTGATTTTCAAAAGGACTATATTGAAGTTGTCTTAGCAGAGTACTTTATAAATAATAAGGCTTATAATTTTCATTACTAAGAATTCCCTCAGACCCAATCTAATATTTTTACTTTAACAGAAAAGCTATGACATTTATGATAATATTAATTAATGTTAAATTGATACAATGTGACCCTTATCTATTATATTGCAACTAGATCACACCTGTGCTTGCTGCTTCAACTGCTCTTTCAAAGACTCATTTTCCAATAATAATTCATGTATCTTTTGTTGTCTTTCATCTTTCTCTAGGATTTGTTTCTCTGTATCTGATGATATACTTTTGTCACTACTAGACAACAGTTTTGGTCGTGGTTTAAATTCATTTAAATCTGTGTTCATTTGTGACATCTGAGAAATTAATGTATTGAGATCCATATTGTTCCTAGATTTCTTTGATCCTTTTGATGCAGACTGAGGTTTGATTGGTTTAATAGCTGCTGTGTAAGGTTCATATGGTACAAACTTAGGACTTTTAGAATGTAAATGGGTCTTCTTCTTTTCAGTTTTAATTATATTAGTAGGATACACCTCGATAAGGCGAATAAGTGGTTCCTTACATTTACTTGTCGACCCTTTAGTTGGAAATATCGCATTTGTAACATTTTTCTGAACTGTTTCTATTGTACCTTCATCAGATTCCATTCCATCTCCAGCAGTTCTTGGTTTGCTCATTATTTCTGAAGATATAAACGTTGTGTTGAAACAAATGCAGAAGAGAATTCAAAGATAATAAAAACAATTACTAAATTCAAGATTACTTACTTGGATAAAAAGTAGATGTTATGTTCTCCATGTTAAAATACTTATCAGTTTAAGTTACCACTTATTCTCATCAATTAAACTGATTTTAGGTTACAATTTTAAAATAATTAATATTTAATAATGTTCATTAGAAAGTAGTACGAAATAGAAATTAATTATATAGATAGATAAGCAAACTGCGAGCGAAAAAAATATTGACTGTTTTTGTTTTTAGAACGTTTGTTCTGTTGTGGCAGAGGCTAAGGTCGGAGACCATACTGCCTGTAATATGATAAATTGTCTGGAATTGAAATATTGACTGTTATTTTGTGTCACACTACTGTCAACGGCAGCCGTCAACTGTTACTATCATAGGTCAAAGTAAATTAATCTAACCACATTAGTTATGAATTAGCCGAAATTTTAATAACTTAATTATGCAGCTATTTGCGTTGTTATTACACCGGCCAGATATTTGGCTATTCAATTATTGTACGAAAGTCACTTTATAATCAACCCAATAACGTAAATGTCGCTGTTCAACGCAGTAACATATAAGTTAGACGATCTTTTTATTGAATGAACTACTTTGTAGTCATTATTATGTTAAGTATATTTATTAGTAAAACAATCTCTTAATTTTGTCTATAGTAGTACTACCTATGGAATGAATTAAGAAGCTTTGTTATATTGACTATAACTGAATGGATAAACTCAAAGTTTAAGCTCATTCAATCTGCAACTGGCCTCCAGATAGTACGTAAGAAAATTAGCGTTTCACTCTCAGATCTCTCTAATTTGATCCATTGCCTACTCCACATTAATTGAACAGGGTGTCGAAGGTGTTCCGTTTAAAGGATAAGTAACATCTATGATATGTGAGTTTAAACTTTGAATTGATCTGTTCGATTATGGACAATACAGTAAAGCTTCTTAATTAATTCCATAGGTGGCACCACTATGGACAAAATTAAGTGATTTATTTACTAATAAATATATTTAAATTATATAATAATGACTACATAGTAGTAGTTCATTCAATAAAAAAATAATTTAACTTATATGATTTTTAGTTTACTGCATTGAGGATCTATCCTTGATCTAATGTTGATGTAGCTTTATGCAACATTCTTGAGTTGATTATACAGTGACTTTCGTACAATAATTGAATAGCCAAATAGGTGGCTATTTAACCGGTTATTAAAGGCATTGCGCGTATACACTATAAATATCTATTGGGTAATACTGGAGTATTACCACATGTGACTGTTTTTTTTTTTATTTTTTTGAAAATTTTACTCGTTCTCCCACACTAAAATGTATGTACTTTGTATAAACTTTTTTTCTTTTAGGTCCTAATTTTCACGATCCAACAGGTCCCTATGACGCTTTAGTACTCGTAACTGCAAATTTAGCATCCCGGGTTGCTTTATTATAATACTTGTTAATAAAATAAATTTTGATAATATCGATCGATGGCATTGCTATTAAATTCAAGATATATTTTATTAATAAATATACCAATAGTAATGACTATAATATATTGTATAATGTTCTTTGCTAGAAAAAATAAATAAATAAAAAAAAACAAAATCGCATATATAGGTTAGTAATCAACCTATTTATTATTGTGGTGAGGATCGAACCCGACACAATGTAGCCGGGTAGTTATTCAATCAATAAGTTATCGGCTAGCATACGCTATCGATTTGGATGTTTATCGGTAGCCGATAGCCACGGTAACTACCGTAGCTGTCGGATAAACGTAGTTTTTGCCAGTTGATGGTTAGTAGTCGTCGCTAAGTTGTCAGGTGTCGGGCGATCGAGAATGGCTTTAATCAATAATAGTCGGGGGGAAGGGACTGTTAGTAATACAAACCTGTCAGTTCGATTTCGACGTGGTCTCATGGTCGACCAACGTGCTAATTTCATGGTATATTAATCAAGATTGGCTAAATGACCTGCCTTTTCGTTTTACTTATCATCTCTCACTAGTGCCCCGCCAGCGGATACCGTTAGCGCAGGCGGGGCCACTACTTCGTCATTCATAAAAAAAATAGCTGTCTGTTGACAACATATAACCTGGTCGGGGCTATTCTTTGCATAGCAGCCATATAGCTGGGTATTGGTATAGCTAGCCATCGCTATTGATAGGTAGACAGGTATACATTACTAAACCAGCAAATTATTGTTAGTGGTCCTTCTTCAAGATAACTTTGTATTCAGTGATATAGATCTAAAATAGTAGCCTAGGGCCAGGGATTTACATGTTGCACATTTCATGTACCCTCTAGTATATCTTTAAAATAAAATATATAATAATGACTGAAATAAATAGATTAATTTAAAATGCCCAAAACAATTTATTACAATAAATAAATGATAATGTATCAGTGGAAATGAATTTATAAATTAAGCCTTGAGTGTAGCATCTAATTCTCCATTAGTTTGTAATTCCTTTATTATATCTAAACCCCCAATCAACTCTCCTTTCACATAGAGTTGAGGATATGTGGGCCAATCTGAATACTCTTTCAGTCCCTGACGTACTTCTTCATCCGTCAATATATCAAATGTATCATAAGACACTCTGAAATCAATAATATTATTGTAATAGGCATCTATTATTTCTAAAAATAAATTTCATTCTTGATCAAATTTATATGGACCAACATGGGATAAACAATTTCCATAAAAAAAGAATTATAAAAATCAAGTCAAAACTAGCATTGATTTCAATACAGGATAAATTTTTGATTGATCTTCTAAAGAGTATTAATAATAATTATAGCCTTTTAGATACATGACCACGAAAACTAAATGTTTATATTATTATTTTTTAATAATAATTCATACCCAGTTCCATTTAGAATTTGAATTAGTGTCCTGCTAAATCCACAACGAGGTGCATCTCTGCTCCCCTTCATGAACACCATGACATTATGTCTGTTTATAAGAGCCTTTAATCTGTCTTCCAACTTTTGAGGAGCTGCATTTACAGGTGCTGCTTTCCCTAAACTATGTGTTTTCACCTTGGCAGTGATCTGTGCAGCATCTGCACCATCCACTCTATCTACTTGTTCTCCATTCTTAAATAATATTACTGTTGGGACAGAATCAACCTGGAATAATATATTTTTTAGTAATTATAAATTATTTAAATATTATGTTTGAAATTCCTAATATATTGATCAGAAAGATTATTACTGATGTCACATGAAGATATTATTGCATGTTTATACTTTATGTTAGTATGTAAAAATTTGTAATTTATTCTTTGCTTTGTTTACAAGACATGATTCAAATTTGTTATTATATTAAGCTATTGTTTAGAAATAATTGTAATAAATCATAGTCAATCCTGTTAACCCTAGGTGAGATTAGTAATGTCATATTGTATGAAATGTAAATATGTTGTAATTCAAAATTAATCTCAGGTTACTAGTGTTCATAACATACCAGGTAGAATGAAATAAATTGATTAATGAAAGTAATTTATTTTGGCAAATAAATAATATTACACTTACTTATGGACTGTAAAACTAAATTTATGGAAATTATTACCTTATACTGCAATGAGATTTCAGAGAGGTTTTCAGCATCACAAATGGCAAACTGAGTTTTGCTAGCTTGTATTTCTGGAATCTTCAATAGTTCTCTAAGCACTTCGGTTACTTGACCACATTGATCTGCCCAGTCAGCAGCAAAATGCACTACAGTTAATGTTGGTGACCTAAAATTATTAGTTTTTTTTTTATTTAATTATAATGGTTTCAATGAAATCAAGGAATAGGTATTTTATGTTTGTTTTAACTATGATAATTTTAGCACATAATTATTGTACCAAAATATTAAATAATCAATAGAAAAATTATATTTTTATTAATATATTTACCACATATTTTTAGATAAAAAAAAATGAAAATATTTCATCGGTGAAAAAACAAAAACACTTGATTTTAATTAAAAAACAGCAGTGACAGTTATCATTTTCTATCAAATGGATTATCAGATTGTTTGCAATTTTGTTATTAATAATAGTCTGTGGGTACCCTTAAGAAATGGGACAATGACTCTTCAAAAATGCTTGTAATTAAGTTTATTTGAATAAAAATAATTTTTATTTATTATATATATAACAAAATATAAAACAACAAAAAAAATGTCTAACAGAGGGTGATAGACACATTATGTTATAAATATTAATGAAGATACAATTAAAGCTAATCTGTTATGAGGTTTGTAATCTAATTTATAACTAGTTATTTATAAACATTCAATATCAGATAATGAGTTCACTTGACCCAATAGCAAAGATTACCTATTAAAGATTGGCTCTAATGTTAAAATATATGTTACAGGTGTGGCGTATCACGTACATTTAAATATAAGGATTATTTGTTTACTGTAATTAATTGAAATACTATAAATTAAATATCCAATCTTCTAATAAAATTATAAATAAATAAATAAGTATTAAATTTAATCTATCTGGTTATTTATTTAAAAAAAAAATGTTAGTCAACCTGATTTGAGAAATCTATTTTGTCAGTTTATCTTGTAAATATTATAATAAAAAATGTGAGAGAAAACTACGGAATAGGAAGAACTTATAATAAAATCTCAAGAGCATATAATGTATTAAAAGTCTTGGTTACCAAAATATTTAGAATTAGGGTTATGTAGGTACTTACTTTATAAAATTCACGAACTTTTCAACTGACTCTACAGTAGAGACCGACATTTTTCAGGTTATACTTCCAATGTAATACAAAAGTATATACCTACACTTTATTTTTCTTGGTGATAATAAAAAATAGTTACGTTTAATTCTAATGATTAAATTAGATCACATTATCAAATTCTATTTCATAAAATAAAAGTAATATAATACACATAGGAAGATAATTAAAGAAACATCAATATTTAAGAAGTGTAGTCTAGAACAGTCAGAAAACTACCTATCTATGTGCTATTATATCATTGCAATATTTACTCTGTGGTTACAGCACAGAGCCACAGATAAATTTTATTACGACTACCTATATTACGAGAATACGAGAATGATCAAATGTGAAAAAGAAAAATAATAGTCACAGTTATGGGGGTCAATTCTGGGACACCATTTTCTAAATTTATTCCTAAGATTGATGAATGTGGAAGAAGCGAAAGAGATTTGTTTGAATCGAAGCATTTGGCGTTCCATTGATTCTGCCTACCCTAATGGGAGACAGGCGTGACATATATGTATGTATGTATTTCTAAAATTAAGATTTCAATTTGATAATATACAGAAATGAAAAAAAATTGAAATTACAGAATTATTTAAGGACCAATATGAACTAAAATTACTAAGAATATTTATTTAAACCTATTAAAAATTATTATTAATTTAAAGATTATATTCATTATAATTAAAGATTACTATTGTGAATTAATTCTCTCTTTTGTCACTTAATTGCAAACGATGCTGTTTTTTAACTAAAAGTGCTCGTTGACGGACTCATTATATTTGATTTGACAATTTTTTTTGACTGACAATAATTATGACATTGGATTTTGTCATGAGGATTGTGGTTAGGTTATCTATTGTAATATATTGAATTTGATTTACTTTGTTATAATGTTTGAAGATTAAGTCAAATAAATTATTTATTATTTGATCTGAAAAATAAATTATTGCATAAAATGGCTACTATATCCTCTGCCCCAGCTCCTGGTATGCAACAGATCGATTTATCTAAGTTAAATCTGCCGCAGTTGGCTCAATTGAAACAGCAATTGGATCAAGTGAGTGTGAATTATTGACGCTATAATTTATTTTACCTAATATTAATACGTACGCGTTTTTATTTACACTTCTATCATCGTGAGATCATTATCTAAGAAAAAACATGTAAATCAAATGTGACTAATTCAAAAAGAATATTTTTTCTTAGTTTTCTATTATTTTAAAAATGTAATTCAAAAAACCATTTGTACTGCTTATATTTTTCCTTGTTTTATTTCAGATTATACTTTGTCTCTATCTAATATAATCTAATTAATATTATTATTGAATTTTAGGAGCTAAATGTCTTCCAAGATTCTCTGCAAACTTTAAAGATGGCTCAAGGTAAATTTGTGGAGTCTGGAGAAAGTGTAGACAAACTGACACCAGAGACGAAGGGTAAAACCATTTTAGTTCCATTGACAGAGTCCATGTATGTACCTGGAACTATAGCAGATTCTGAAAACGTTATTATAGACATTGGTACTGGATATTATGCACAAAAAGTGAGTATTTTTACAAGGTTTCATATTTTGTGTGTATGTAGATTTTAGCTACGATATTTCCATTACAACATTTTATTTTATTAGAAAAATGGTTACTGTTGTCTCTATATTTTTCTATATACCACAGTGAGACTGTACAAAAGTCGTTTGTGTGGGGGTACCCAACAGAGGTATCTGTTCCATTTGTGTTTCTACTGTAAAGCAGTTTTCTTTGCATGGCTGTGTTTCGGTTTGAAGGGTGGGATATGGCAGTTTACAGAGGAATAACACCTTAGTCCTCAGGAATGGAAATGTGAAACAGTATCCTCTGTTATGTCCATATACTGCTTATGTCTATAGGTGATGGTTACCACTTTCTATCAGGTGGGCCGTCAGCTTGTTTGCCATTTTAATTTGCATAAAAAAACTTGTTATGAATACTAACCAATCTGATGGCATACCTGATGCTAAGTGAATGACTTCTGATTGTAGCTATGAACAACATCATCATTGCCATGGAGTATATCGTAATATGCATATTAAGTCTTACTGGTTAGTTAATTAGAATTACCTTGTTTAATTCTACTACTATTTGTATGTGTATGGCTGCCAATATTTGAAGTTGTTCTATGATTTTCCAAATTAGTCATTAATCTCTAACCCAGTTTATGCACATGTTACAATACATGTTTCACCTCTAAATGAGGTCTTCAGGCTAATTAATAGTTTGCTGCTTGGAACCTATTATAGACTGTATGGCACCTAAACTGTGAATACTTGGGTAAAGGTTGTAGAACTTTTATTAATAATCATATAATCAATATCAATAATAGTAGTCAATATTCAAATGTTGGCAATTACACATGTACTAATGGTATCAGAATAAAATAAAATAATTCGAAGCAACTAACCAATGAAATGTCAACAAAATTACACCTAGTTCAGTAAAATATTTATCAACTTTTATGTATTGCCAATTACCAGGATTTAGGTGTTTGTTTCATGTCTGATATAGTACTTACATCTTACCTTCATAACTTATAGAACAATAATTATTGTCCTCTTGTTTTAAAACAAACTGATAATTTATTTTACCATTATTGATTTAATCATTGTAATTTTTTTATAAAAGTTGTTTTTTATACTATACAGTTTTAATTAATATATATATATATATATATATATATATATATATATATATATATATATATATATATATATATATATATATATATATATATATATATATATATATATATATATAATTTTCTTTATTTATTTTAGTACTACATCTAGAATCAACAGCTTATATCTAAAGTAATTAAATAATATTATATTTACATCATTAGCCAATTATAGATTTCAAAAATTATAAAAATATACCAAACGATATTATGTTAATTTTTTTTGGAAGGTAGATAATTCACAAAAAAAAATCTATTAAGATACTTATTTGAAACTTTGCATATATGTATAAATAGATAAAGAGAAAGTGTAAAGTTTAAGAGTATCATAGTAAACATTATTCTTCATCCTTGTTTCAGGATATAGATGGTGCTAGAGATTATTTTAAAAGAAAGGTTCAGTTTGTAACAGAACAAATGGAGAAAATTCAAATGATGGGTATAGAAAAATCTAAAGCCAGAGAAGCGATCTGTATGATGATGGAGATGAAGTTACAGGCACAAGCACAAGCTCAAGGACAGGGACAAGCACTGAAGGCTACCAGGTCATAACACTAGATTCCCCTGTTTATTAATCATTGTGCTTGCTGGTTACTGAACTATATAATTTCATATGAATAATTGTGTCTGTGTATAGTAGAATTTCAATAATTTAGTACACACAGTATAGGCCAAACACCATTGGAAGTGAAGGTCAATTTATATTATTATAAAAATTACTTTAACCCTTTCCACTCCAAGCCTTTTTTTCTGTTTATTTCACCAGCTCCACACTAAAATTGTGTTTTTTAACTATTAGGGTTTTTTTCGTATTTTGAAAATAAAATTGTTTTTTTCTTATATGATAAACTTTATTTTAGGAGTAATTACAGGATACTATATTATAATTCTTAATTCTAATCTTTATAATCCTTTTTGGTATAGTATTTTAAAAAAAGTCCTACCTTTTTTAAAATTGTCTACAAAAAGAAGTATTACACTATGTCGAGTGTTACTCGACAGTGGAGCTGGTGAAACATAACCAATGTCGAGTGACACTCGACATTGGAGTGGAAAGAGTTAAAGTTATAATTTTAATGTATTTTAAATTAATGAAATTCTGTTATATCAGTGAAATCAAATTATAAAATATATCACATTTTAAAATTAAAAGTAATTTTAAAATATGTCTAAGCTTCTCAACTCAGATTTTGAACAACACAATTAATTGTACTTTAACATTAGTTTGGTTAATAAATTAATTAACACTATTTTATGATTCTTATTACCACTCCCAAAAAATATTCTTAACAGAAATTATTCCATCAGGTATACTGATAACCATTTTTTATTTCATTCAAAAAGGGACATTCTTCAAAATTATGATAGTGATAGTAGTACAATGATACAATCCTATTACATGCAAAAGTATGTAACAATGTGTGGATGGATGGATATTTGTTACTTTTTTTTATGTAATAAATACTGAACAGATTAACATTGATTGGAAGGGATATTTTTTATTTCATTTTTATATAATTTAAAATTGCAAATAAACTGACGGCTCATCTTTTTTTTTTTTTTTTTACAACACAATGATAACTGTCACCTATAGACAAACGTAAACAGTACCACAGACATTACAGGATATATTGTGATACCCATAATACCCTTCATGCATTACCATTAAAGAGATAGTGACGTGTTCCGTAGCTTGTATTTTTATTGCCATATCCCTTTAAAATCCAACATAACCATGCAAATATAATACGTTTCATGGGAGAAACAAGTAGGAAAAAGGTATCCAAGCAGAAAACTTTTGTATAAACTGACGTCTCACCTGATTGAAAGATGTTACCGTTATTTATAGACATGAAAGGTGTTACTTTTTACACGACTGCCTAAAAAAGAATAATGGTGACAGACAGGTTTCATGTACCTACCTATGTATGTGTGTTTGGTTTTACGGGAAAAATTTGGATATACGGGATTTCGTTAGAATTCTTAAATTATTTCGAGTGATGCTTGCTAAATAATTCTTTTTTGGCAAGGTAGTTGTGTTTCCAACAGACTTTAAGAAGAATTCTCAATACGGTTGTATTTATTTTTATTTTGGTACCTCATAACTTCGTCGGTTGTAAACAGTTTTGGATTTTTTTTTATTGGAAAGGATATGCCTAAATATTTTATTGGGGGGAAAGGGATTGTTAGTAATGGGGTCTAACTGCCCAATTGCTAGCAATATACCCCATCAGATCGACCTCCACGTGGTTCCCCCTGGAAACCATCGTGGTTAATTCTAGTGCAATTCATCACAATGGGCTAACTGACCTGCTTTTATCGTCACCTATCATCCCTCACTGGTGATTAATTCTAAATGAAAATTATTGGTTTTGCCACAATTGAAGTCACTTTTTTTTGTGGAACAAATTTGTGGATCAAAGTGTGTATCAGATAAATTATATTTTGTTTATATTGTTACCCCTTATGCATTGCCATTTGTTATTATTGTGGTGTGTCTTCCAATTATTTACAGCCATATTTTATCCGTAACTTTTAAACTGAAATAGCTGTTTTATATAAGAAATAAGGGTACCCATGTAGATCTTGTATAAGGCCTGATGGAATACAGTTTGGTATATCCAAAAATTCAAGATCTACATTTATTATTATCAGATGGATTAATAAATGAAAAAGAATTAAACTTGTGACACCAAAATGATTTATTTTTTTAATAGGCTGAAATGATAGCGTTGATATCTACAATATAATGACTTATTATAAACTATATTAATATATATCTACAATATTTCTTATAATCACAAAACAATATTAACTAAATAAGGCAACGACTATTCCTTAAGTTTGTAAACAATTTCTAAATAAGTGTCATAAATCAAGGTTTTAGTTTTAATCGAATATCTCTTACCATGAACACGTGAAAAGGTGTCTGGGTAAAGGTAAACTTTTAACATTAATAAGGAATTTACATTGATATCAGCTTTAAAAATTATACATTACTTATTTTTTTATTTACTGTAAAATTGTTTTCAGACTGTAAGCAGTTTCATACAATTTTGCAATTTGAACCTTATATGTATATCTGATAAAGATAAGTACATCAGTCGAGCTGAAATTTAAGAAGGTAAAGAATGGCATTGTTTATATATATATATATATATATATATATATATATATATATATATATATATATATATATATATATATATATATATATATATATATATATATATATTTTCATAAAACTATACACTCTAGCGGTAAATAGGCAATAAGTTAATACAACTTTTTTTTTATTAATGTGAAAGTATAAAAAATAGAAAAAATAGAAACATTAGCGATTTACTGTTGAGCTTGTTTCAGAATTTTATTTCAATGTTGTGATTTAAATTCGAATGTAATTGAATAAATGTTATTAATTAGGTAGCTAATCTTTTTACGTTAATAACGTTTAAAAATTGAAACTCAAAAACGAAGTATAATATTTAAATAAATATTTTATTTTATTCAGAATATGTGTTGGTTTAATAATATTAACAATTTGTTCGCGTATACTTAGGAAGGTTAGGAGTTCAGCAGATGTATAGATAAAACTGTCACTCATTTTAAATTTTTATCATAATGTCACTATTTAATTACAGGATGTCTTAGAATGTTCTGATGCTATAGTTTTTGTAGATCATTTAATATTTCACTCTAATATTGACTGACATCAGCACCTATATATTAACTCGTGTACGTATTAGTAAAAATATTTGTAATTAAATATAAGAACTAGATAACTATCTATTTACAATTAATTACATTATACCATAATTTAATATAATAATTAAGTACCTATATTGGTACAATGTTCATTACCAAACTTATACATGTCATCATTTTTGGCGAAGAGTCAATCTTAATTCAACACCACAATATCCACTTACACATTTGCATTATTACACGAACAGATCACTTGCCTGTTCGGCAAAGTCCTTATCTCAAATGGTGTAATATTCAGGTGCGAAGTCATTAGCCAAATTGCTGAGGAAGTGGAAGTCTGAAGAGGAGTTGGAGTTGTCGCCGGCGGGGGCGGCGTGGGTTGCTTCATAAAATTGTTGGAATGAACCGTAACCATCGCCGCATTCTCCCGCGCTGCCGCCATAAGCCTCACCGGTTGCTCCGCCTTGTGTAGCACCTGCCCCATATCCAGACGCCGTTGTACCTTGTTGAGCACTGTAACCACTTGCATCATAATACGCGTTCTTAGCGTATTCAGTTCCATGTGAGTTCTTTTGACTTTCATTGCCATAGTAGCTGTGTGAGTGGTCATGTTGACCGTCGTGATAATGGTAACCGTAGTGACTATTTGAGTATCCCATGTGTTCACCGTATCCTTGGGACTGATCGTAACCTGGATGTCCATACCCCACTTGGTCCTTAGCATAGGTCGGATACCCATAGTTTTGATACATTTCATGTGGATAAGTCTGCCTAGGTCCAATACCATTAGCAAGTCTTGCAGGAGAACCTTCTTGTTGTCTCCCATGCTGTTGGTTTCGTACATAAGTATGTTGTTCAGTGCCTTGTAATCCTGAACTATAGTTCTCATAATTCCTGCTACCTTGTGGATATTGTGATAATTTTCCAATAAACTGTTTGGAATCCATTCGGAAATCTGGATGAGGAATAAATTGGCTAGGAGGCGCGTTGCCTCTTATAACATAAGGGGGCATTGCGTTAGGTACAGCCTGTGGATGAGGAGGACCAGGAGGCGCATTCGGAGGCGACGGTCGAGGGTAATGACCGAGTGGACTCTGATGGATGCTTGACGGAGTCCCCGGTGTCGACGAAGGCGTTAAGTTGACAGAGGAAAATTTGGTTCCATCTGGCAAACCTGTTATGGACCCGAGGCCGTCTTTAGATGCAGAAGGTGAAACTTTGCATGTAGCATCTAAAGAAGGCGATCGTTTTCTTGATTCTTGTTTAATTCGTTTTGCTAAGTTCCGAGTAGCTGCGGGAACTGTAGAAGAGGGTGGATGTGCGTCTCTTGAGTCGTCCTCGGCTAATTTATCTAGAGATGAAGAGGACGCGACACTAGAAGCGCCATCACTGGCGAAACTATTGTTATTTGTAGCGCTGGGCGTATTATTGTTACGTGTTCGTGACGCTAGTTCGGGCAAGTCTTCGGCTGGCGAACATAATGCGCCCGGCGGCAGTTCACAGCCCTGACAGCTCTTCTTGCCAGATAATGGACCGTCATCATCCAGAAATTTGTCCAGTCCCGTCTTTGAACTCTTGCCTCCTTCAGATGTAGTGGAGTCTTTGTCATCCCCATCTTCGCTTTTGCTCAATGTTTGTCTCTTGTGTTTCATTCGTCTATTTTGGAACCAGACTTTCACCTAGAACAATATAATTATATTGTTAATATTTACTTGTATGTCATATTGTATCACTGCATTTTGTAAATACCTATTATTAAGTGGTGGTAATAAGTATTTTTTTCTTTTACATACAACCGGCAATGGCAAAATGCTGATAATGCATCTAATGGAAAGTTGCCTATATCAGACTGAGATGTTATAGTAACATATATGTATATGAATTTAATTTTAAAATATTTTAATTTGGTAAATATGAAATATTCTATGCGGTAAGGTATAAAAGGGTTTCCATGAAAGATATTATTCAGCACCTACCTGTCTTTCGGTGAGGTCTAGTGATGCAGCGATCTCGATTCTTCTAGGTCGGCAAAGGTATTTATTGAAGTGGAATTCCTTTTCGAGTTCCAATAGTTGTGTATTTGTATAAGCTGTCCGCAGCCGTCGTGGTAGACCATTTTCTGAAAATAATACAAAATGCAATTTATTGCATCGTTCCTATGTTATGTTCTGTTTGACATCAGTAATAAAGTTCTAAACCATAATCTACTCTTTAAATCGCGTGGTATAATGTAAAGGCTAGAGTAACATATAATTAATTTTATAGAATGCTATACCTAGAAGCTTTCAATAACAGGGTTGCGAGGCGGTTCGCGGGCGCGCTTTCCTTTAATGTAATAACTTGATCGCATGTCAGAGTACCGCCCTTGACGCCATTGTGTCGAAACGGTGCTCTTTTTATTTTACCACAAAATACGAATTGGAATTCGAAATTCAAATTACAAAAGGGTGGCGAATAATGGGGCGATAGCGTTCGCGTGTCGTTTCGGTCGTGCGCGTCCGCAATGTCATCGGGTGCATTTCTAATAATTCTTAATACTTAAACAATAAAGACTATATTCAGCGCATTGAATAATATTTGTATGGTGGGGTTGGCGGCAGTGGCGCTTGATTGACGTTGCTCGTCAGCTCTCGCTTTCGCTATTGGACAAGGGCAGCTGTCAATCAAACGGAGCGCTGCCCTCGGTTACGCGCTGCTGGCCTCGACCTGCCTACAAAATCAAACTTAAAATTGCCCTATCTGATGCATTCGTATCGTATTCATCATTATAATATAATATATCTGGTTCCAAAAGCACCTATTACATTAACTTAATATGTGACTCATGTTAAATTTCTGTTAAGTTCTATGCAACTGTAATTAATTTAACTAACTTGCATACGTTACGTACTTGAATAACGTTACTAAATTATCAGTGTACTGGACCCGAAACTCGATAGCCCTTGGTCAGCTACTAGAATTATTATGAATCGTGAGTACAGTCGACAACAAAAGTAAAGATATTATTTATAAAAATGAAAAAACCAAAATTATTTATCAAAAAAGGGTAATTTTGAATGGGAATCGCTACTCTGGATTACTTTTAATAGATGGCGTTGTAGGCATTAGGTACGATTTTCACCGGGTCATCTAGTTATTGATAAAAATCTAGCAATAATAAGGTACATTTTTAAGGTATTTATTGGATAATTTTAATGGTAGTTAAATTTTAATTTTGTATTATAGTTTTATTTAATTTTTAAAATTACTTTTCATAAAAAGGACTTAAATTTTAAGGCCATTTTAAGATTACTTAAAAAAAACGCAAAGGTAGTTCTATAAAATAAATATCATGTTTGTATCAACTCTACAAAATAATTAGTGAATTGCTTTTCTTGTATTTTCTGTAGATTGGTTTAATACTGAATCACTACGAGTTGTGTACATGGCTGTACACAGAGGGATGTAACCAAAAGATGCAAGTTGGTAAGTTTTTGCTCTAGATAATAGGCACGATTATGCGGGCTGGAGAGGTGCCGCGTATAATGTTCACATTATCACGATGTTATACATTTCACTCTACTGAACAGCGAACACCGAACAACTTAACACTGCAGGGTAGGTATAAGCGCTACTGTTTTGTTAGGAATAATTTTAGTTTTGATATACTTAGAGTTCAGTTGTGTGTGTTTTAATAATTATACCTATGTACCTGTACTGTCTGGTGTATTCATTAAGTCGGTAACCAAAATACAGGATCCTGAAATTGGTATAGGTCCCTTTAGTTTTCTGAATTCTCAAGGTAGGTAGGACTTGGCGATAACAAACATTTATAAATACATTTTGTAATAAAAATTCTTCTGACATCCAAAGAACTAAGACATCACGGAAATAAAATAGACGTGTCTACTCGAAATTCCATTAGAGACGATACAAAATTTTCAGTTAAAATTTCTCATGAAGCAAATACGCTGGTAATAAATGATTGTGAAGTTACTTATGTCGACTTGTGTAACCCTCTGCGGACAATTCGGGCTACAAGGGTGGGTACATTCGACCGAAGATTTACAGTGGATTAGGGGTCACTTACATGGTTTAAGTCAAGAGTCGACTTGTCCACACATAATTTGATATTATCACTAGGCTCCGTTGTTTGATTGAATTATTCGACTTTGTTATCTGCGTTATTTATTTTATACATTTTATCCCATATGCATACTAAATTGAAGTAGTTATTGGGTAGGTTGTGTATATTAATAAAATTGCAAATAAATAATAAACCAGAGGGAGACTTAATTCCAAAGTCGTTTGCTTGGACACCTCTGCCCCATTCGTGTTTCTACCGTGAAGCAGTTGTGTTTGCATGGCTGTGTTTCGGTTTTGAGCGTGGGATATGGCAGTGAATTAACAGGGTACAGAGGAATAACAACTGAGTCTTCAGGAATGACAACGCATGGGGGAATCATGGGCGAAACAGTATACTTTGTTATGTTCATGGTATTGCTCATGTCTATAGACGACGGTTATCACTTTCCATCAGGCGAGCCGTTAGCTTGTATACCGTTCTAAATTGCATAAAAAATAGCTAATGATCTATCTGATGGAATGTGACACCATGTATCATGTATTTATATCACGAAATATTCCGTGATGCCCGTGCGTTGTAGTTGTTATGTATTCTTTCCTGAAGATTATAGTGTTATGCTTTTTGTGTAAAGAGATTTGATTGCCTTATTGTTCAGATCTAAACATAATTATTTTATTGTTTTACGATAAAAGTAGGTAAGACGATACTATCTACCTGTATAAGTCTGTATCTAATTCCTATCTATAAGCGAGTCACACAAACTTTACTGTCAGTAGATATACAATTTATTATGAGAAGTCGGAGAATTTTTTGTGTAGTTTACCTGTATGTAGTAAATTACACGCTTCTTGAATAGATTCAAATATTGAAGGAAATAAATGATGTCTATTAACAAATTGAGTCTATTATTAAAATAGTATATCTAGGTAGGTAAGACGATTTACAATAAGTCACGCAGGTAAATAATTATGTAGTAGGTAATTGACCGTAGCCATATCTAACATTTTTGATTAGCAACTAAAGTTGTTTTGGTAGCGTAGTAAACAATTTGCAAGGATACGTGCCGAGAGGAGCCCCTCGGGTAACTTTAAATAATTAATCAAGAGGCGGTAAAGGATTAATGCGGTGGCCAGTTGGCGGTTGGATGCCATTAGAGAACGTTCGATGCCCCTACACTAAATGCTGCGGTCACATTATTTGTGTCGGCATTCGGCATATGGCACCGAATTTTAGAGAAACCACACAGTTCTCTCATACCTTAAAAGTGTTTTTGCTTAGAAGTGCCATCAATTTTAAGTAATGTTTAACTTGGATAATCAGTCAAAAGAATTGAGTTTTACCGGATGTTTAAAAGTAATATTTACCTCGTAGTAGAGGCTGACGTGAGTATATTAGTAATCAACTATACCTAAATGTCTTTTTTCTTAATTACTTTCCTATATATCTGTAAAGGTAGGTACACTCCTATGTATTTTGGTATATGAGAAAAATACTATAATACGAATCTTGGAGACGGAACCATTAAATTTCAAAGGAATAAAGAAGGCCTATTATGTAGTTTTGCGTTCGTCTCGAAATTGACTTCAGTTAGACGACGTACCACCTATCATCATCCAACGGTACAGTAATATCGGTAATTAGCATACAAGATAATTTGGCGAGAGCTGTTTTGTCATGATATTCGCATAAATTCAAGTTTATAGGTCGAAGGAGTAATGTACTTCATACACTGCTTCTTTGTAATATGTACCTATACTGTGTCTAAAAAGTCTGTAGCGTTGAACTATCATTGGTCTCGTTTCTTTTTAAGCTGGTGGAGTATCGGACACGATTCAATTTGTTTCGTGCCTTCTATTATAAAACAGATATTTTTTATCAATAATGTTTGCACTTAATAAGTATATATGATTTTGAATGTAGGTATTGTATATTGTAAAGTACCAAACACTACTCGGAGAATGAGTACAGAAAGGGTGTCACATGCTGACTTCGAGATGATAAAGTGCCAAACATTTATTTTGTATGTTACCGCTGCAACGGAAAAGTTAGCAAAGGGAGGAAGTTGCCGCGGAGAAATATTACGTTATGAGGTGTGAAAGGCATAAATGTAAAAATTCAATATTTCAAAGGCAAAAAAGTAAATTTTTCCGCAATTTCATGGTGGCAACAATGTCGTTACGAGAGATCACAGCGTTCTACGCGTTGCTGCTTATCATATAAGCCTACGAATATTTGTCAGAATAAATTAAGAAATTAAATTAATGCGAATGTTTTGTTTGTTTTGATGAATTGTTTCAAATAGACAGGTTATCATTAACAAAACGTTAAAACTTGGTATCTGTCAAAACAAATCACAAACAATTGACTTGTTTATCAATTTGCACTCCGGTGCACAGTAGTGAACAATCGATCATTGGGATGGATTTGTATTTTTCCGATTAGCTGTATCTGGGGCGTATTTGACATTGTCGCATCAATTATAAGCGTGGATTACCAGGAGACAGATGTAAGACGGTTCAATTTCGTTTGGGCACGGGGTGGTTGTGCCCCAGCCGAGCTCCGAGGGGCTGCGTATCAGGAAGTGACTTGAGATCGCCTTATCAGCGCTTGATGAAGGCTCGTTCCCATTATGCACAGATCAGTTAGCGGCAACAGATACCCATACAACTGTATCACGAGCAGATCTGTGAGAAAATGTTCTTTATACGTAGAAAAAATATCACAGTTGGTCTGCATAATACATTGTAAAAAAGCAATGATCGAAATTGAACAAAATATCTTTATCATAAATATTCTAATTTCATGTAAACAAGATGATAAATTAGTAGTTTTAATTTCACGATTTTTAATGAATGTGATATTATTACAGGTATATAGGCTACTCCCAATATTGATCCCAGTTTAAAACAAAAACATTTATTTCGCGCTTTAGAGGCTACTTAAACATTTCTAGGCGGCTTGTTAGGATATTAGGCAGGTATTTATTTATTCTTAAACGATTGAACAAATTTGAATGAAATTAGGTACGCACATGGACTGTCTTGGATTAATAC